AGGAGAGGAAGAGAGTGAGGGCGACGGTGCAGCATCTGGAGGGAGTGGTGGAACGCCTAAGGCATAAAGTGATGCGGTACCCGGGGGACAGGAGGGCGCAAAACAGGCTGGTGCGGAAAGAGGCGCACCTGGAGGCTTACCTTCAGAGCTGCAGAGACCGGTTGCAGGTCATGGCGGGGATCAAGGTAGAGCTCAACGAGGAGGTCCCGTCGCCTTATCTGTCTGCAAAAATAAAAGTGCGGAAAAAACGGACGACTATACGGGAGATCTCTCACCGTGGAGCGGTGTACCAGGGGACAAAGGAGGTTTTGAAGGCGGCTGCGGATCATTTCAAGACGGCTTTCAGCGAGGTGGTGCCGGAGGAAGAGGTGGACTGGGGGGCTTTCTCGGAAGGCGCCAAGTTCTCGGAGGCGGACGCAGAGCTCCTCGGGGTAGACTGGACAGAGGAGGAGGCCAAGCAGGCGCTGGAAAGTCTCCCGAAGGGGAAGTCCCCCAGACAGGACGGACTGCCGGCGGAGTTTTTCATACTGCACTGGGGTCTGATGAAAGAGCATTTGATGGAGTTTGTAAGGGAGTTCGCGAGGACGGCGAGGATGCCGGAGAGCCTCTCAACCGCGGTGACTGTGTTGCTGCACAAGAAGGGGCCAACAGACCAGCTGGGGAACTACCGCCCCATCACGCTCCTGTCAGTCATGTACAAGCTGATCACGAAAGTCATGGCTACGAGGTTAAAAAAGGTGTTGGGCAAAGTCCTATCAAAAGAGCAACACGGCTTCTTACCGGGGAAAAGCCTGGCGGACGCAGTCTCGGTGGTCGCGGACGCGGTGGATGCGGCGAGCAGCGGTAAGGAGGACTGGCTGCTGCTGCTGGTGGATTTTCAGAAAGCATATGACACGGTCTCGCGGTTTTTCCTCTTCAGGGTCATGAAAGAGCTGGGAGTGCCTGAAAGCTTCATCGGCTGGACCTGGGGCCTGCACGCAGAGGCAGGGACAAGAGTCATTATAAACGGATGGCTAAGCGACAGGGTGGAGATGAACAGGGGTGTCAGGCAGGGTTGCCCCCTGGCGCCGTACCTTTTCCTCTGTGCGCTTGAGCCATTATGTAGAGTCACGCAGCGGGAACAGCTGGGGGTCGGACCGGCCGGGAAGGAGCCGCTTTCTTACGTGGGCTACGCTGATGACACCTCTTTCTTGTTGAGCGGGGAAGCACAGCTGCGGAAGGCGGTGAAGGTGTTGGAGGTCTTTGGGAAGGAGTCCGGTTTGAAAGTGAACTGCGACAAATCGGTGGTGGTGCCGCTGGGGTGCAACAGGGGAGAGCCGGTGCCGGCAGACATCCCGTACAAGTGGTCGGAGCAGGGGGAGCCGGAGAGGCTCCTGGGGGTGTGGATAACGCCCAACGGAGACCCGGGTCCATCCTGGGGGAAGGCTTATGAAAGGATAAGGGAGGAGTTAAGGAAGTGGGAGGCACAGTATCTCACGACGACGGCAAGAGTAGCGATGATCAGCTGCTATGTCCTGCCGGTGCTGATGTTTCAGGCTCAGGTCTACTCACCGCCGGAAGAGGTGTGGGAAAAAGTCAGGAAGCTCTGCCATGCTTTCATATCGGCGGGGGAAGCGGCAGAAGAGAAGATTTTTATCCTTTGGAGCGCGTACCTGGCGTGTCTACCGCGGAAGGACGGGGGCCTGGGCCAGCTCGATCCGAAGCTCTGTCTTGACGGGCTGGCAGTCCGCAGGGTTGGGAAGTTTCTGAGGGAGCCGGATGGAACGCGCCGGTGGCTGGCGGAGAAGGCGGCCTGCTTCCCACAAGGGCTTGCCACGCTGTATGCACACCCGTCGGCGTTAAAACAGTGGCAGCAGGGTAGTGAACGGTGGAAGGCGGCAGCGAAAGTGTTCTGGAAGTCACCTTTCGCAACATTGCCGGCACCGACAAGCAGATGGGAGGTGGAGGAGGAGTTTATCTGTTTCAACAGGAGCATCATGCACAGAGGGGGGAGTCCGTTTGGCCACCAGATAAGCACAGCGGCCCTCATCACCACGCGAGTCAGAGACCTGCTCACCGACGGCCCAGGGGGACGGAGGGGGGTAAAAGAGGAAGATGAGCTGACGATAGAACTGGGGAGCAAGGAGGCGGCGGTCATGGCAAGGAAAGCATATGGGGCCATGCCGCCAGAGTGGAGAAAGCTGATCGAGGAACCGGTGTCTGCAGAGGAGGTGGTGAAGGCGTCAGGAGTGGTGAGATACATCCTGCGTGGGCAGCCGACCAGGGTTCCATGGGCAGTGGAAGGGGTGGCAGGCAAGAACGTCACAGCAACCAGCATGTCTCTTGATGAGGAAGGGAAGCTGGGATCTCCGTCGGGGGCGGGGAAGGCGTGCTTCGAAGCATGTAGACTTCAGCCGATGGCGGTTCAGAAGGGAGTACTGATAGGGCCGGTGAGTGACCCAAAGGTGCGGCTGATGTCCCAGTCGGGGTTTTTCGCTGGGGGAGAGCTGGTGCCGCTACGCGGAATAAGAGCTGCACTAACTAAATCGAGCGGGCGCTCCTGGAGGCAAGCGGAGTGGGAGGAAGTCTGGGGCAAGAAGATCAACTGGCAAAAGGTTATTGAGACTCGGGACTCGGCGTGTGTGTCAAGCAAGGCGAGGGATGTCTTACTCAGGGTCCACAGCATGAACCTCCAAGTCGGGGGGAGGCTGGATTTTTTCCAGAACAGGATCGCATGTGCTCACTGTGGAGAGGAGGAAACACTAGCACATTGTCTCTTCAGCTGCCCAATCATACAACCGATCATCGGCGCGCTTAAGAGATCACTGCACATGTTGAATCCGGACAGGTCGGTGAATTGTTTGGGGGACCTACTGTTCGGGGAAGGGGGCACGGCGTCAGATTTCCCAGGAATGATGTTGACAGCGGCGGTGCTTAAGCAGGTTTGGCTGGCACGATGCAATGCAGTTTGGCGCGCAGCTCCTTTTGAGAGGAAGAAGGTGGGGAGGTGTGCTGTGCTGGACTTCATGACGCATGCGAGGGTGGTTTTGGCATCACGAGGAAGGATGGCAACGGCAGGCGAAGGGGGAAGTTTCTGGAAAGTGGACAACTGGCACCAGGTGGCAAATGACGAGAGGAAGCAGCTTCGGAGGATCTGCAGCGAGGATGGGCCAACAAGCTGGGCGGTGTTGAATTATATTGCATATCCTAACTGCCTACAGCTTGCTAGTGTATTAGTTAGTTATTAGGTTCAACTGCTGGTGGTGTACCCTATCCTCTCCCCTATCCTATATCTTGTAAACATTCCTTAGTGAATGCCCTCTTTGCCCAATTCTCTTGCCATGCTCACCCTCGACACTCACGCTTCCTAGGTAAACCCTAAGTTACTAAGTTAAGAGTTAAGAGCGTGTTCTGACATGATATCAGAGAGTGGTCCCTCCTAGGACCTCGTTTTCATGGGCCCACCAAACCCGCGATCTGCCATGGCGACTTATTGTGCTGCTGGCATGGCTGCTACTGCTAGTAGCGCGAAATCCGCTGCTGGCTCGAAATCCGCTGCTTTTGCAGCACCCGTCGCGCTGCCCCCTTTTGCCTGCCCCGTCGCGCTCTGCCAGTGGCGAGCGTGCCAGCGAGGCGACGGCGGGCGCCAGCGCAAGCGCCAACGGCGGGCGCCAGCGCCAGCGCCAACGGCGGGCGCCAGCGCCAGCGCCAACGGCGGTCGCCAGCGCCAGCGCGGACGCCAGCGCCGGCGGCGGGCGCCAGCGCCAGCGCGACGCCAGCGCCCAGCGCCAGCACTTCCGCCAGCGCCAGCGCATGGGGGGGAGGGGGATGAGGGGGTGGCGGGAGAGCTTCTGCCGCGCTAGCCACCTCCTCTCCTCTCCTCTCCTCTCCTCTCCTCTCCTCTCCTCTCCTCCTCCTCTTCTCCTCTCCTCTCCTCTCCTCTCCTCTTCTCCTCCAGCCGCATCTCCTCCTCCTCTCTCCTCTCCTCTCCTCCAGCCGCATCTCCTCCTCCACTCTCCTCTCCTACAGCCGCATCTCCTCCTCCTCTCTCCTCTCCTCCAGCCGCCTCTCCTCTGCTCTCCTCCTGTGCACCACCACCAGCTTCCTCCTCCTCACCAACAGTTGTGTTTGCTCGTAGATGGCGAGCGACCAGCATCCTTCGCCCTCCGGCTATCCCAGCCCTCCTCCGCGCTCTCCGCACCCTCCTCCGTTCTGGCGTTCGCAGGTGCTGCCGGTCAGCCACCGCTGTTTCTGTGCCTATCCCAGCTACAGCAACCGCTCTCCAGGCGGCCTGGTGCCAGACACCACTAGCTATAGCCATAGGCAGTTACGGGGGTGTGTTGAATTATATTGCATATCCTAACTGCCTACAGCTTGCTAGTGTATTAGTTAGTTATTAGGTTCAACTGCTGGTGGTGTACCCTATCCTCTCCCCTATCCTATATCTTGTAAACATTCCTTAGGGAATGCCCTCTTTGCCCAATTCTCTTGCCATGCTCACCCTCGACACTCACGCTTCCTAGGTAAACCCTAAGTTACTAAGTCAAGAGTTAAGAGCGTGTTCTGACAGGCGGCTCCGTTTCTCTCTATCTGGCGCAACCCGCGCACCTTTCACCAGCCTCCGTAGTGTACCACAAGGGGGCAAAGCGATGCCTCACGAGGCGTGGCCTAGGCCCTCCAAGAAATACAGTTACGACTGCGGATGTATCTATATTCGATAATATATTTACAAAAAAAAAAAAAGAAAAAAAAATGGGGGTTAGCGAATTTTGCCACTTTTTTAATGGGTGAGCCCACTTTGAAAATGGGTTGCGACTTCTAATAACTGGGCCGTGGCTGCTGATACGTAGCTACTTGCTCTGCTGCTCTCAGCTGTAACCTACCCATGCCACAAACGCTGCTGGAGGCAGTGCTATTGCCACCGCTAATTGTCATGATGACTGCCCCGCAGGTTTTCTAAGGCGCCTCAGAAGTCACCAACGCTGCTGGAGGCAGTGTTATTGCTACTGCTAACACCAACATTACCCCTCGTGATTGTCATGATGTGACCGCCCGCCAGGCTCCCAGGAACCACGGTCACTCCAGTCTGAGCTTGCCCGCCGAAACACCCTTTCTTTCTGCAGGAGAGTGGGTTCAGGCAATGGCACAGACTCTTCCAATTGTGATGGTAACCCCCTCTGCGAGTCCGGTGCAACATCCCCCTGTGCATCAAATGCTGCAATCCCTTGGGCATTGAACTCCGCACTCTCCTGTGCACCCGCGGATGCCGCAGCCCCGCGGTTATTGTAACAAGACCGCTCAGCCGCCTCCAAGCCCTTGTTGCCGTCCAAGCTTGTATGGCGGCGGTCCAAGCCTGTGCGGTCACTGAAGTCAGTTCGGTCACTGAAATCAGTGCTGGCGCGTCGAAACGCCCTCTCCTTGTGCCGGGCAGCAGACCCTGGCGATGGCGGCGGTCTGTGCCCTTCAAATCGCGCTTCCACTCCTGCACCCCTCCTCTGCTGCTGCTGCTGCTGCTGCTGCATGGGGCTGTCATGAGCCCAGTCCACGCTGTGCCTTGCAATCCTAGCAGGATTTCTGGAGGGCACGGGTTCATTCTGCCAGTATGCCCTGCTGCTGCTGCTGTCACTGCTGGCAATGTCGCTGCTGCTACTGCCACTGCCACCAATGTTGCTGCTTTTGCTACTGCTACTGCTACCGCCAACACTGCTGCGGCTGCTGCTGCTGCTGCTGCCGCCTTCGCTGTCTGCTACACAAAATCTCTGGCAAGGCTCTGCGCTCAACTCGTCCACCTCAATCTCACTCACAGGCAGCAGGCCGCTGCCACGGCCATGTGTTTTCTGCCCCTGAGAACTGTACACGAGCTGATTGCTTGGCCCGTGACTGTACTGAAGGTGACTGTCTGGGGTGTGATTGTGTGTAAGGCTTGAGGAGCGAGGAGCATGGGGCGAGCAGTGAGGCAGGAGGTCACTGGCACACCCAATAGAGAGGCTCTGCTTGCGAGCACTCCCCGTTCTCCCACCCCCGATAACTGCTCTCCCCATCCCCGCCGTCCCCATCGCCCCGTCATGTGATGCCGCCCCCACCCCCTCTCTTTCATGCCCTGACAGTGTTCCCTCTGCCTGAGGTGCTCCATTCACCCCCAGTGCAGATCTAGACTCTGCAGACCCTGCTTCCGATGCCACTGCAGGTGCGATTTGCAGCGGGTCGAGTCCAGCCTCCCCGTCAACCCTCCTGCCTGCCTGTGCGTCCCCTACCCCTCCTCCCCCTTCTCGCCCCTCCCCTGCGCGCCCTTCCCGTGCTGACATGGATCGGGTGAGTCCTCTCTCCCACCCCGCCCCTCGGCCAGCACTAGGAGCAATTGCAGCAGCAGCACCAACAAAACTAGGTCTAGCAGCAGGAGAGGCAGCAGCGGTGGCAGGGGTGGCAGTGTCAAAGCTAGCACTAGCTGCGCGGTTGTGCCGTGCGCTTGGTTCCAGCCACTCTGAACCTGCCTTCACCAAAACCCTTCTATTTGCATCAGCAGGACCACCAGAAGCAGTGGTGGCAGGGGTGGCAGGGGTGGCAGTGTCAAAGCTAGCACTAGCTGCTCGGTAGTGTTGCCCTCTGGGCTCCAGCCATTCAGAAGCTGCCTTCACCACAACCCTTCTACCTGCACCAGCGGGACCAGCAGCAGTAGCAGCAACAGCACCAGAAGCAGTGGTGGCAGGGGTGGCAGTGTCAAAGCTAGCACTAGCTGCTCGGTAGTGTTGCCCTCTGGGCTCCAGCCATTCAGAAGCTGCGTTCACCACAACCCTTCTACCTGCCCCAGCGGGACCAGCAGCAGTAGCAGCAACAGCGCCAGAAGCAACAGCGGTGGCAGGGGTGGCAGTGTCAAAGCTAGCACTAGCTGCACGGTAGTGTCGCCCTCTGGGATCCAGCCACTCCGAAGCTGCCTTCACCACGACCCTTCCTTGCTCTCCTGCTGCTGCCCTCCCTCTTCCTGTCGCTGGTAACCGCACACTCTGTAACGGTATGGCACCATCTGACCGTGCCGCTGGTAACCGCGGGCTCTGTAACTGTATGCCGTCATGGGGCATGTGCCTAGGCGATTGCTGGATTTCTGAGGTTATGCTCCCTTGTGCCCTTGCTGCTGGTAACCAGGGGCTCTGTAACGGTATAGCCCCCTGAGATCTAGATGCTGGTAACAGGGAGATCTGTAATGGTATGGCCCCATGTGACCTAGCTGCCAGTAACCGGGAGCTCTGTAACGGTATGCTCCCCCGCGACCTACCTGTTGGTGACTGGGGGGGTTGTAACGGAATAGCCCCCTGTGACCTAGGTGCTGCTGGTAACCGAGAGATTTGTAACGGTATTGCCCCTTGTGACCTACCTGGTGATTGGGGGGATTGCAACGGAATAGCCCCCTGTAACCTAGCTGCCTGTAACCGTGAGTTCTGTGAGGATATTGCTCCTTGTGACCTACCTAATGGTGACTGGGGGGTTTGCAACGGAATAGCCCCCTGTGACCTAGATGCTGCTGGTAACTGGGAGCTCTGTAACAGTATGGCCCCCTGTGACCTAGCTGCCTGTAACCGGGAACTTTGTAACGGTATCGCTCCCTGTGACCTAGCTGATGGTGACTGGGGGGGCTGTAAGGGAAAAGCCCCTTGTGAACTAGATGCTACTGGTAACCGGTGGTGGCTCTGTAACGGTATGGCACCATGAGATTCTGCTCGCCTATGGTATGGCCCTGGGAATGGTGCAGAGGCAGCAGTGACAGTGGCAGCAGTGACAGTGGCAGCTAATGAGGCAGCAGCAAGAGGCCTGGGACCAGCATCAGGGGCAGGGCTGGCAGCACCACTGGCAGCACCGAGAGCAGTAGCAACAACAGCACCAGCACCAACACCAGAAGCAGCACCAGCACCAACAGCATGAGCAGCAGAAGGGCCGTTGACTGCATGCTGCGGCAAAATGTTTCCCTTCAGCACAAACGCGCCCTCTCCTCTCCCTCCTCTCGCCCCTCTCCCTCCTCTCCCGCCACTCCCGCCGTTCACCCCTCCAGCACAACCACCACTCCCTTCCACCCAACCCCCCGCTCCTGCTTCTACAGAAGTCCCTACCCTTCTTCCTCCCCCTTTTCCAGCAGCCATTCCGCTCCCCGTCCCCCCTCTGCCCCCTCCTCTCCTCCCGCCACCAACAGCCATGGATCGTGCCCCTGCTGCTGCCATTCGCCACCTCTCGCCTGCCTGTGCACCACTGTTGCATGCGCCATTGCTGTGTGCGCCTACCTGTCCGCCCCCAGTGAGTGTGCCCCCACTGTGCGCGCCCCCAGTGAGTGTGCCCCCACTGTGCGCGGCACTGATATGTGACCGAGTGGAAGAGGAGGAGGCGGAAGGGAGAGGGGCGGACGGGTGAGGGCTAGCAGAGGGAGCGACCCTGTGGGCAGAGCGACGGCCTGTGGAGCTGCGCCTTGTGAGGGCTGGAGGGTTCCCCAATGAGGCTGCCTCATCACCTGGCCTGTCTGCTGCTGCCCCCACTGCCCCTGCTTCTGCTCCTGCTCCTGCTGCCGCTGCATGTGTTGCGACAGGTGAGTCGGCAGCAGCACGAGTGCAGGAGGGTGCAGAGCCTGGTCTGGGAACAGGGGCCGTGTCTGTTAGTGGAAGTGTGTAAGGACGTGCGGAGGTATCAGGCGGTGAGGAGCTAGGAGCGGGTGAGAGCATGGGATTGGGTGCGAGTGTGGGTGTGGGAGTGAGTGTGGGATTGGGAGTGAGTGTGGGTGTGGGATTGAGTGTGGGTGTTGATGTGGGTTTGAGAGTGGGAGTGAGTGTGGGGGTAATTGTGGGTGCTTCTGCTGCTGCACTAGGTTCGGTGTGTGCTGCGTACTCGGGTATGGATGAGAGGGGGAGTTCACTGGGAGAGAACGGCTGAGAAAGCACGTACAGCTCAGCCCATGCCACGTGGGTCTCATCCAGCACCTTTGCCACCTCATCAGGGTCCACGGTGGCCTGCATTGCCACGTCAGGATGGCCTGAGAGCAGCCACGTGTCAGCTGTTTCCAGCCAAGCACAGATACGTTGAAGCACAGACATGAGCGCGCTCCCGTCCAGCTCAGACGGTGCTGACTCAGCGCTGACGTCAGACACAACTAGGCGGTATGCTACGGATAGTGTGAGGGGATTGGGAATGGCCACGACTGCATGTGCACGCACCTGGTAGGAGGGGGGATGTGAGGGGGGGCGTGTGGGGATGAGGGGGGAGAACCAGGTGGGGCAGAAGGCAGAGGCAAGGCAGTGCAGCGGGGTAAGGCAGCAGGTGGGAAGGGAGGATAGGGACGTGGAGGGATATTGGGGAATACGGATTGGGTATGGCAATGACTACATGTAGACCCACCTGGTGGGAGGTGCAGGGCAGAAGCACTGCGTGGTGGGTTTGGCAACAGAGGAGGGCAGAGAACAAGAAAGAAAAAGGGGGAGGACAAGAAAGCGACAATAATCGAGTCGCTCGGTCAGAAGCCGCATCGCACCTCATATGTACAAGTGCTAAAAAAGAAAGGGCTTCGCACCTCATAAATATCTCCAGCTGAGTGCAGAGACGGCGCAATGTCTACCGCTTCCACAGGCAGCAACACGTCAGCATCTGAGAGCGACGCCGCTGACGAGGCAGCGGCGGTCTGCGGCAGCACTCCGCAGTTCCAGGGGAAATCCACCACCGTGAAGCCTCCCGCGTCATCATTCCACCCAGCAGCGACAGAGTCTGCAGCGGTAGAGTCAGCAGCAACGGGAGAGCCAGCAGCGGTAGATCCATTGGTATTGCCGAAGCAGCTGGCGACGATCTGACCGTCCATTGGCGAGATTACGTGCATGCGACGCCTGCCTGCAGGATTCGTGCAAATCATTCGAAACGACGTCGCGGACGTCGCAGAGCTCGATTCCAGCGAATCAGAGTGCGGGTGCGCATTTAACGAAGGGTCCTCATCGTCGGCTGGATAGAGAGGGACGTCGTGCCATGGCGACACCCTCACTCCTTGAAACAGCACTGGTATCATGGAGACGGACGGCGGCGATGCAGGGATGAGAGGACCTGTATTGGAAACGGACGGCACCGGTTCGTCGTTCCAGTCGCCTTTGTCGTTGCCGTCCGTTCGAAGGTCGCCATCCATTTGACTGTCGCGGTCGACCTGACGCTGGCCGGGTACTGACGGACTGACGTGGCGCTTCTGATCTTCCATGCCAGCTGACGTGCTTAACTCGGTCAGTCAGTAGAGCTGTGTATTTCGCGAGTCACCACTGCCAGAACGGCCTGGTATAGCCTATGCCACGCTTCATTCGTCGCCACTCCATTCATCACCATTCCATTCATCGCCTTCCATTCGCCGCCACTCCATTTGTCGCCATTCTTCGCATGGGCCGAAGGGAACTCGAAGATCCTTCGCATGAGAGCTAGTGGACTGGTCTTGGCTTCAGGTCTTCTTTGCTTTGAGTATTGTCTCAGTCATTTGAAACTGACGCAATACTCAGTTGAGGGCAATTTCAGAGACTCCATTCAGGGTTTAGCTGTACAGTACAAACATTTGGCGGCAATTCTGTTTCGAGTACAAAGTTTGGCGGCAATCCCTAGGGATTGACCTGATATCGTCTTGCCACCGCACTGTATCCATGCTATACCAGACCAGACCCTATACAGCCGCGTCCGAACCTATTAAAATACGACCCTTCGAACGAGCAACTGAAACATTTGTTGGCCTGCTTGGGCTGCCTGCTTCGTGTGCTGTGGTGATTGTGCTTATAACGATAATGACTTTATGCTCTTCATGGTGTGTTTCCCACAAATATATAAAACAATATGCTTAAGCTCAAGTAACCACATTTGAAAGCCACTCATAAAAATCGCTAGAAAGGATTGCGCAATAAAGCGCTTGTCTTTACAGTCTCGTACTTTTACATTCATAAGTGCTCGAACACTTGCTGTAACAGGCCACCAGAAGGGGCCTCCATGTGGGACGGGCATAGGAGCCACTTATGAAAGCAAAAGCAGGAGGTGATGAAAAGATGGGCTGCCCGTTTTCAGGACCGGGCTAGCAATAAATCCCACCTTGAAGAGAGTGGGTAAGCAAAAAGGAAAAGAGAGAATAGAGAGTGGTGGAGGGGTGAGATGACCTGGTGACAGGAGGAGGAAGGAAAAGGAGAGGGTAAGAGAGAGGTTAGAGAAGAGAAATGGTGGAAGCGTGTATTTGTGTGCATGGAAAAGGGAGGGTTGCGAGGGAATCCAGTCCAGAGGTGTGTGTATGACCCCCCGATGTTGATCAGTGGAGCTTGTAAGTTCCCCCTCTCCCCCTCTCCCTCCCTCCCCCTCTCCCACCCCCCCAAAGAATAACAGCTGAACCGTCTACGTCGCTCCATGAAGCATGAAGGCCCTGACTTTCCCCCAATCACAATGCAGCCAGCAGTCTCCTCCCCTCTGGACTGCAATATTCCAATCGCTGGAGTGCAGGCATCTGGGACCACAACAGAACAGAGCAGAAGCACGACAGTGCCCCACAAACCCACCCACCCACGGTTGACGCAGCAGCAGCAGCAGCAGCCGCAGTAGGAGGACGGATAGCAGAAGCAGCGGTAGCAGCAGCCTTTGAAGAAAAGCATCTCTGAGAGTGTTCACCATGGAGATCCTCCCTGGCCCCTCACAGGGCAAACGTGAGGCGCAGCGGGATGGACGGCAGATGCGCCTGCAGCACCAGCTGCTCCTGTAGCGCCTCCACGTCAGCACAGTCTATCTGCCCATTGGCTATCACCGACGGCAGCAGCACCTGTCCCTGCAGCCGCGACAGCAGCAGCAGCCGTTTCTTCGCCCGTGCCATCCTCAGCAGCATGGCCACTCCTCCCTTTTCAGCCGGACTGCCCCCCCTCACCCCCACCACATGCACCACACCCTCGAGGGTTTGTTCCAGAAGTAACCCCCAATCGGGAGGGCACGCCGCGTTATTTACCCCGCCGGAAGCCAGCACCAGGGTAAGTTCCACCTCGGAATCTGGGACCAGCCAGAGCCGGACGGCGCGGAGGACGGAGATATGATCCCCGCGCTGCTCGTCGTTTGTCTTTACTGTCCACTTGCCGTACTGCGCCATCTTGGCGAGCTTGTCGCCGTCCATGCCGCCCAGCCGCACCGGCAGGACTTCGGTCTGAGCGTTCATCAGCTCGAGTGCTGCTCCGCTGGCGCGCACTGAGGCGAACCAACGCAGGGCACGCTGGAGGGAGCGAGAGAGAGGGGTTCAGGAGTGGGAGGAGATGGGAAGGGAGATGAGAGGTCTGAAGGGGAGAAGAAAGTTTGGTTGTATCAGAGCAAAGACTCGTTGCAACAGAAACACAACAGCTGCAATGCTCCAAGCCATATCCTGCAACTCTGATAGACCGGCTTAGAACAAAAGAACGCTCTCAGATAGAAGCAGGCAACAAGAACCAAAGCACGCTTATACAACCGTCGCAATCACTTGCATCGATAGTGTGGTTGACATCAAAGAATCGACGGCTCTCCTTCTTCCCTCCGCTCTCGGCTGGCATGATCAGAATGGTGAACAGCGACGCCGGCCCGCTGCCGCCCAGACCCTTGCTGCTGCCGCCCGAGTCGTCCTTATCTGCCGCCTCAGCGATGCAATGCCGCCGCACCTTTAGCACAGGGCCCGGCGTTGCATGCGAAGGCAGGTTCGGGGCGGCAGGTAGGAAGGCAGGTAGGCAGCCGGAGTGGAGAAAGGTAGGCAAGCCTGCTGGGAGAGAGTCTGTGCAAGTATCACCATCTGTCGCAATGCTGCTGGCCATGGCTGCCTGCATGCCTCCTGCCTGCATGCCTGATGCGTGGCCCCGCCACAGCCTGGCTTCAGGCGCTGTCACTGCCCTCCCTGCCCACAACCTTTCCTGCATCTCCGCCGCTTCCGTTACTGCAGCAGTTCCGGCAGCAGCGGCGTCGGTCGCGGGGATAGTGGAAGCAGCAGGGCTGGTGGTGTGATGGGTGGGAGAGCTCGGCCTGGTCCGCGCTCCCATGTCACGTGCTTCTTCGCGCGTCGAATCAGCAACACACGCGTCAGAACTGCCAGCACCAGCGCCAGCAACAGCGTCGTCTGCTCTCTCACGCCAGTACTCATCCTCTCCCTCCTCTTCTTGAATGCATGTCTCTCCTTCCCACCTACCCCAGCCTGCTACGCTACTGCCTTCCCCAGAAACCGGCACTTTAGAGTACAGGTGCGGCAGCACGACCCGCGGCTCGGCTGCTGACGTGGCGGCTGTCGTACTCCGTGTTCCATAGGAGGCGCCCGTGTCGCTGGCAGTAATATAACTCGACTCGTGGGTGGCAGGTGTGTCGGCAGGTTCAATCTCGTTGTGACGCGAATTGGAAGAAGGTTCGCCAGAAATTCGGGCATCCCTAAGCATATCAGGACCATCCCTCTTCATCCGCTCATCTCCGCCGCGACCGCCATCCTGCGCGCCAACGTCCCCCCTCTCCGCTGGGAGCACCGCATGCGCCAGAAGCGGTGCTCTGACCCCTTCCGCCTCCTCCACTCCATCTCTTGCGCGCGCCCATCCCATCCGTAGCCGCGCAATTCCTTCCGCCAGCTTCCCCCCAGCCTCGCGCGCCGGCAGGGAGTCTTCCGCCCCTTCACTATCTTCCGCCTCTTCCCCATCCCCCACGCCGCCTGCGAAACAACAGCCGATTCCCGCCGCACGGCGAGCCCGGACGCTAGCAGCGGGTAACTTGGGAGTATAAGTCATTGCCGCGTCTGTTGCGCTGCTCCTTGTTGCGCTGCTCTTCCTTCTCCACTGGCCTAGGCTTGTTATTCCGCAGCGCGCCGTACGCTTTAATCCGCTCTAGTCGCAGAATGCTCTCCTCCGTCCACGCTGCAAGCGGCGCGAACAGCGCGTGCCGGCCCTTGGACAAAATGACGCCTTCTAGAAGGTTCTCGCCGGCGTCGTAACTGCAATCAGTTTCAAAAGTGCCGGCTAGCCGGTAGCTGGCCGCTCCAAAGCTTGCGGTGGTGTCGTCGTAACTGCCGTCGAAACTGACGTCTCCTTGTGCGGCTTCTGCAGCGGCTTCAGCAGCTGCGGCTTCTGCTGCCGCTGCCGGAGTGACTCGAGCCAAGATGTCGAGGCGGCTGAAACAAAGCATACGGACGAACAAGAGTGGAAAGAGCGAGCGCGGTGAGATTTGGTGCGACATGGAGTTGGAAGGAGAGAGCTACAAGGAGGTAGAGGAAAGGATGGGAGACGTAAAGAGCGCGTGGGAGAGGGAAGCGAGAATGGTGCGAGAGGAGGTCGGACGGATGTGAGCCGGAGATGAGACGGAGGTGAGACGGAGGGAAGACGGAGGGAAGACGGGGGAAGGATGAGGAAAGACGTGGCTGCCAGACTGCTGTAAAATCAAGTGCAAGATCCAAGACCAATCATAACATATGCTGAACGAACCATGAGGGCAGCAAACCATGAGGGCAGCAAACATCGACTTCTTGGCCTACTTGCGAATAATCGAGAGCCTCTTGAGTCCACGTGGCCTCAGGATCGCTGTTTCTCACCTATTCCCGCGAAGCACTTGAAGCGGCACGCGATTCTGCTTCAGCTTGTCGCGCAGAGACCATGAGAGAATCTCCCGCCTGACGCCATTAATGCCGTCCTCGAAAGGAGCGTATGCTGAACAATTCGAGCCCGAGTCGCCTACTCTGAGAATGATATCTCCTGGAAGAAGCGCGTGGGGATTCGTTAAAGCCCATTGGCTATCCACGATACCAACCAGAACTTCGGTACCGTTTATAGGTCTATTGGGTTGTCGAGTATCCATCAGTGTTCAACGCTCTATTAGTTGTATTTGAGAAGTTCAGATCAGGAACCTAGTGGACTCCATGTGGCGAGTCGGATCAATCTTGAAAAGGCTTGACTGATTGCCTTAATCGAAGACTACGACGACGTAAACTAGAGGAACTCATCTTAGGCACCGTCGGACTTAAATGTGACACCAGGACACATGAAGCTAAAGCCGAGTCGCCAGGAATAGTAAGATAATTGGCACTCCAGCTGTACTAGTCAATAATCTGCTAACAGCCAGCTGTACCGCAAGACTTCCAGAGGCAAAACAAAAGAAGGGAGTTGATGGTGGATCAACGCAAGGCTAGGCTGACAACAAAAATTCCGACGATCCTTTTCTGCAACTGCCGCCAGCAGCAGCCATGGTTCATGTCACGGCACGGTGTGGCACCAACAAGCAACAGGAATCTAGGTGACTGACAGAACCTAGGGGGGAGAAAACCTAGGTGACTGCTCGCCTGGGTCAGCTCAGCAAGCAGCAAAGTTCCGCCAACGCCCACTCCCACTGGCACCGGCTGAAAGGGGGAAAAAGGGGGGAGGGGACGGGTGGTGTAACAGGCGCAGCAGCTTCGATAAGGGGGCGCGCAGCGAAGTAGACTGGTTTGGTGTGCTGCTTCCGCCGCTGCGCTGTCAACGAGCGGAACACGCGGGGGAATCCGGACTTGATGCTGGGTGGAAAATTCCGCGCAAAAATGACGTGAAACAGGGAAAGGCCTCGGACCTTGGGCTTGCCTTGCCGTGCTTCCTCCTCGCCGACATTTTGTTTCCGAAAGGGGCAAGAAGCACTTGGAGATTCGCGCGAATTTCACGTGCGCATATCATTCACGATGTGGAGGTGTACAGTAAGAGTGATGAATTGTTGTTGGTGCATTTGCTGGAGATATTGCAGCATGCTCTTATTTTCCATCTGCCCGGAGAAATGTCAACCTCAGCGGGATGTCATCAACCTTGGCGGAACGTGAAGCTCGGCGGTTCCGTTCAACCGCCCACAGCCACAGCCGTCTTACCACCTCCCACCGCCGGACTTCGTGGCGGAGGTGAACTGGAATGGTGCGTCGATTCTTGGCCTACCCCTTGCCTACGTGTTTTACAGCCGTCGATTTCATTCTACCCGAATCTTGTCAAACTTCAGGGCGCGTCCCCTCCCTCGATCGATCGTGAGATCGCCGTAAAAAACCGATCGGGCACACCGATCGCAGGATCGGGTTGGGTTTGGTAGGAGGTGATAATCGGGGATCGATCCCGAACCCAAGGTGACAGGATCGAAAATACAAGGGGAAAAACTCTCGATCCTACAAAAGCCGAGATCGGTGTGGCCACGAAGGCACATCGATCGTCATCAGCAGGGTTGACAAGATCGTTGGGCACCAGTTACTGTACATTCGCAAGCCATCTCGAAATCAGGTTACCCTGTCAACTGCGACACTGTAGCTGTCCCTCGATCGATCGAGGGCAGGATCGATCGAGGGAGGGGACGCGCCCTCAGAAGTTCTGTAACGCGTTTGCAATAGATTCGCTACAAAAATGCTCTGAGCCTGAGTCAATCAAATAGTCATGTTAACTCTACTCGACGTTCTTGTTAATTCTATGCACAAACGGAGACAATTACAAAGCAGCACATATCATCACACCCTCCCAGTAACTCCTGCAGAACTCTCCTAAGGCTTTTCCAGAGAAAGCATATATTTCGCAGCGGATTTCATAGGTCCCATAGCTACGCCTGCTCGAAAGCATTAGTATTTAGGGGGGAAGCCTTCGATGCTTGTACATTTCGAAACGGATTTTTAACGTTTGCCTAGCAGCATTTTTGTGAAAGCGAAAACTTCCCTTTGACGCCATTCCTTTTCCCTGCGGCTAGTTTCGACAACACTCTTGCTACTTACGCACACACAAAAAACGGGTACCGCGACGCGTTATAGTCACACATACAGAAGCGCACACCCGTTATAGTCACACAGTCGGCGTTCGCTCAATAACGAGCGACGATGCGGCCGTTGGACGAGAAGGAGACGCAAGCGGTGTTTGAGAAATTGCACAAGTTCATCGGCAGCAACATCAAGCACCTCATCGAACGCAAAGCGCCTGAAGGGCCTGGGGGTGCCACCGGGGGTTACTGCCTGAGACTGCAAAAACAACGCGTGTATTACGTCAGTGAGGTGGGTGGCTTCGGGGGGTTACGGGAGGTTGGGTTTAAGGTTTCGGGCGGTGTTTGAGAAGCTGCACAAGTTCATCGGCAGCAACATCAAACACCTCATCGAGCGGAAAGCGCCGGAAGAGCCGGGCGGTGCCACGGGCGGGTACTGCCTGAGACTGCAGAAGCAGCGCGTGTACTATGTCAGCGAGGTGGGTGGGCAGAATTCATGGGATTTAATGGAGTTACCGGGGATTACCGAAAGTTTCTGAAGGTTAGTGAAAGTTACTGCAGAAGCAGCGCTTGTTACACATCAGCGAGGTGCACTAGAGGTTAGGGTTGGGGGGGGGTTCGAAGGTTTACTGAGGGTTGCCTGGGGTTACCGGGGGTTACTGAGGGTTGCTGTCTGGGGCTTTCAGAGGCGGGAGGGCCAGGGCTGAACGGAGGTTTTACAAGGGTTTGACAAGTGGTTTGAGAGGTTTGCAGAGCGGTTGCAGCATTTGAGATAGCGTGTTGACAAAACCCTGAAACCCGAAAGCTCTAAACTTGAAGCTTGCAGCATGATCTCCCACCTGTCTCACGCTACCCCTCTCCACCCATCAGGCCATCATGCGGAGACCCACGAGTGTATCGGTCGATCACCTGGCATTGCTGGGCACGTGCATTGGCAAGTTAACCCTTGCTTGAACCATGCTTACCAGTGCTCCCACCTCTCACACGCCTCTCCACCCATCAGGCCATCATGCGGAGAGCCACGAGTGTATCACGAGACCACCTGGCGTCACTGGGAACGTGCATCGGCAAGTTCACCAAGTCGGGCAGCTTCCGCCTCACAGTCACGGCGCTCGACCTGCTTGCAGCATACGCCAAGTGCAAGGTGCGCGTGTGGGCTGGCTGGGCATGGCTTGACCTAACCTGACCTGACCTGAACACTCATTGCCAAATTTCTCTTTTTGCTAGTTGGCCGGCTGCTATCATGCATCGTAATTCTCTCTTCGCCTTCCCATCTCATGCTCCTCCCTCCCCTCCCCTCCTCTCCCCTCCATGGGGAGTGGGTGGGTAGTGCTAGCAGTGGGGATAGTAACCCTCGACGCCAATCATCGGGCACCTCCCTGCACCTCCCTGCACCTCTCTGCACCTCTCTTCGCCATCTATCCAAACCACCCACCCCTCGACACCCTGTTTTCCTCGTGCACCCACGTCCCCCTGCAGATGTCACTCCTGTACGGCAAGGCAATCACCCATCAGCATTGTCCCCCTCGGCATCCTCCCTTCCTCTGCTTCTCCTGTCCACCCCCCCCCTCCTTCCCTCCGCCAGGTGTGGGTGAAGCCAGCAGCGGAGATGTCCTTCCTGTACGGCAATCATCAGGCCACTCCTTTTTCTTCTTTCACCCACCCCCCCTTCTTCTCCCCTGCTTTCCCCTCCTTCCCCCCCCCCAGGTGTGGGTGAAGCCAGCAGCGGAGATGTCATTCCTCTACGGCAATCACGTGCTCAAGAGCGGGCTCGGGAGAATCACCGAGAGCACGCAGCAGAACCAGGTTGGTGGGCAGGCTGGGAGATGAAATAGGTTGTGGCTCGGGTGTGGGATTTCGGTGCAGGTATGGGGCTATGTGTGTCTTGAGGCGGGCAGTCAAGAGCGGGCTGGGGAGAATCACAGAGAGCACGCAGCAAAACCAGGTCGGTGGGCTGGGTTACGGTAGGGTGGGGCTTGGGTTTCTAGTTTCAGTGTGGTGTGGGGATGGGTCTAGGTGTGTGTCTTGGGCAGAACCGAACCTCATAGCCAGACTCCCTCCTCCGGCCCCCCTACGCAACCCCCCTCTCCCCTCCTCTCCCCCGTCCATTCCTCCCCCCTCCACCATACCACCCCCCATGGCAGGGCGTGGTGGTGCTATGGCTATCGATGTCAGATGGGCCGCTGGGCTTTGGCGTGGCAGCCAAGTCGACTCAGGAGTGCCACTCGATGGAAGCCGAGGGCCGCTGCCACTCAGCCTACATCTGCCTTCCCCCATCTCCCTCCTCTCTCCTCCCCCTTCATCACACGGCAGGGCGTGGTGGTGCTATCCATGTCAGACGTGCCGCTGGGCTTCCACGTGCCACCGCAACTCAAACCCCCAACTGCCCTCCCACTTCTCCCCCTTCTCTCCCCCCTCCCCAACTCTCCTCCCCCTTCATCACACGGCAGGGCGTGGTGGTGCTATCCATGTCAGACGTGCCGCTGGGCTTTGGCGTGGCAGCCAAGTCGACACAGGAGTGCCGGAAACTCGACCCCAACGCCATTGTTGTGTTCCACCAGGCCGACACAGGTGGGGCTCTGATTGCTTGCTGCAGCAGGTGTAGGTGTTGATGTGAGAGTGAGAGGTCACTGCACCACACCGCACCACATTGCAGCCAAGTCCACACAGGAGTGCCGGAAACTCGACCCCAACGCCATCGTTGTGTTCCACCAGGCCGACACAGGTGGGGCTCTGATTGCTTGCTAGCAGGTGCAGGCGTTGATGTAAGAGTGAGAGGTCACCGCACCACACCGCACCATACCGCACCACACGGCAGCCAAGTCGGCACAGGAGTGCCGGAAACTCGACCCCAACGCCATCGTTGTCTTCCACGAGGCCGACACAGGTGGGGCTCGTAGATACAGCCAAGTCCACACGTGACACACCTCACCACATTCCTGGTGGAGGTGAGGTGCACCTGGTGGAGGTGAGGTGCACCTGGTGGAGGTCCAGCAGGTGCAGGTGGGGCTCATCGGGATCTCACAAGTGCAGCAAACACGATTTCACATTGAGGCGTTTGTTGATAAGAGGGAGAAGTCCCCGCACCACACCATACCACACCGCACCGCACCCCACTGCTGCGCTGCTGTGTGTATCACGTCAATTCTTGTCGCTGCTGTGCATGAATTTACAAGAATTGCATCCTGCTGCCCTGCGAACTCTTCCTCCCCCCCCCCCCCTCCCCTCCCCCTCAACCCCCCTACCCTGCCCACTCCCCCTTGCCTCACCTCGCACTCCGCATGTTTGCCGTTTCCTTCCACACCCCCATATCCACCAACTGTTGCAGGTGAATATCTTCGCATGGAGGATGAAATATAATCCTTCAGCTAGTCAGCGGACAGGAAATTCTCCACAGGCACGTGAATCGAAGTTGGGATGCTTTCTTTTCGTGAGACACAACTGTATTGATGTACTGTATCCCATAAAAGAGTGTATCTTCATGAGGTTCTGGAAGATTGCTGCAGGTGTGCTGAATGCTGTACCTGGCTCGTTACGCTAGTTGCAAAAGGTACGTTCGTATCTGCAGTGATTGTGCTATGTGTGCTTGGCAACACTAACTTCAAAGCACCATAGACATTAGTGCAGTATACAGTATAATCGTAGCAAATCCTGGGTTACCCTGCAAACACAAGCAGCAAAATATATGTATTTACCCCCTACCACATAACGACATGATGTGTTTCAAGTTTACGTCTATCGGCAACTCATTATGTAGTGTACGTATATACTACATACTCGTACCGGAACTGACTAGGACTATGACTACAAAGATGATGCTATATTGCATGTACAACCATCATGCCAGCCACCGTAACTATTTCCTAGAAGCACTACAGATAATAAAGATCCATGGTTTATGTCCAATCCAAGCACAATAACATAAACAAGTTCTGTTTATTTCCACGTACAGACCTGCTCCATCATTCACCCGCCTTGCCAGGCGCAATTCTAGTCGGGCCGAGGCATGTCCTGACTCCCAGCATCAGAAACCACTTCACACTGACTATTTCCGAGCACCATAATAGAGCTCGAGGTAGTCGAGAGCAGGGCGGTTCCATGTCCAGTCCTGCTCCATCACTCGCCTTGCCAGGCCCTGCCACCACTCCCTCCCATCGTACCACCCCGAGATTGCCCTGATGGGCATGGGGAGGGAGAGAGAGAGGGGGAGGGGAGGGGAATTGAAGTTGAGGTGCAACAAAGTGGCAATGAGGTGCAATGAGGCACATTGGGATGCCAAGGGCGAGCGTCGGCACTCCAGTCCAGTCCTGCTCCATCACCTGCCTCGCCAGCCCCTGCCTGCCACCATTCCTTCTCATCGTACTATCCCGAGATTGCCCTGATGGGCAGGGAGTGAGGAAAGGGGAAAACGAGGGGTGTACTTGCAACGAGGCGCCACTTGTGGGTGTGCTGCAACAGCATGCAATGGAATGTTTACAACCACTAGAACCGTACCCAAAAGAATACCACCCAGTCGACTCACAACCAACCAATAGAGTTCCACCTAATAGAATAACACCCATTTAAACCGCAATCACCTGTTGAGCGCATAGTCAACGCCAGCAGCATCGGCCCCTTCAAAGGAGAACCCATTGGGCTCCATGCCCCTCTCTGCTGCTCTCTGCATGTCCTCCTCACTATCCACGTCCATTACTGTGTCTCTCAGGCCGCCTGTCTTCCGCACCACCGGTACCGCTCCGTACCGCATTGCAACCAGCTGGGTCAGCCCGCACGGCTCAAAGATGGAGGGGACGAGAATCATGTCACTGGCTGCGTAGATCTGTGGGAGAAGGGAGAGAGGTGGGGGAGGGAGGGAAGTGAACTGGAGAGGGTTGGGGAGTGGGCGAGCTGGCGGGTGGCCAGACGAATTGTCGACGCATGGTCACACACACACGCAGCCTAACACCACACGCACCCATCAGGTGCACTCACCACATGCAACAATCAGGTGCACTCACTACGCGGAGGTGAACTCACCAGGTGCGAGAGCGGCTCATCATAAGACAACCACAGCCGAGCCATGTCTCCATGCGACCGCCCTAAGTCCCTCGCCAGCGCCTCAAACTCGCCCTGCACGCGCCCATCGGGTGCCGACCCCAGCAGCACCACCTGCCCGCCCCTCTCCAACGTGCGCCACAGCGCGTGCTTGATGAGCGCACAGGCTCACACACACAGCCACACAGAGAGGCCTCAGATTACTCGCATCCACCGCGCACACACTCACCAGATGTGACAAGGGCTCGTCATAGGTCAGTCAGAGCCTGGCCATATCTCCATGCGACCGTCCCAGGTCTCTCGCCAGAGCCTCGAACTCGCCCTGCACGCGACCGTCAGGGGCCGACCCCAGCAGCACCACCTGCCCGCCCCTCTCCAACGTGCGTCACACAGCGTGCTTGATGAGCGCACACAGGTACACACCACACGCACTCACCACACGCACTCACCACAAAGCAAGGCACTCACCAGGTGTGAAAGCGGCTCATCATAAGACAGCCAAAGACGTGCCATGTCTCCATGAGACCGCCCCAGATCCCTCGCCAGCGCCTCAAACTCGCCCTGCACGCGCCCATCGGGTGCCGACCCCAGCAGCACCACCTGCCCGCCCCTCTCCAATGTGCGCCACAGGGCATGCTTGATCAGCGCTATGCCCTTCTGCGCTGTCAGGCGCGTCACTATCCCCACCAGGGGCCGGTCCTCGTCTGGAGGGAAGGAGCGGAGGTTGAGGCGCGCGCGGAGCTCTGCCTTGGCTGCCTGCTTGCCCTCCACCACTTCGGCGGAAGAATATTTCATCTGGGGAGAGGGTAGGGATGGGGAAAACAAGAAACAAGGAGCAGGGGGAAGGCAAACAGCGCGTGCTTGATGAGCGCTATGCCCTTCTGCGCTGTCAGCCGCGTCACTATCCCCACCAGGGGCCGGTCCTCTGAAGGGGAGAAGGAGCGCAGGTTGAGGCGCGCGCGGAGCTCTGCTTTGGCTGCCTGCTTGCCCTCCACGACCTCTGCAGCGGAGTATTTCATATGGGGAGGGAGGGGGTGGGGATGGAAAAGATAGGGAACAAGGAGCAGGGGAAGGGAGGGGAAGGGAAAGAGGGCGAGCTTGATGAGTGCCATGCCCTTCTGTGCTGTCAGCCGCGTCACTATCCCCATCAGGGGCCGGTCCTCTGAAGGGGCGAAGGAGCGCAGGTTGAGGCGCGCTCGGAGCTCTGATTCAGCATGAAGTAAAAGGCAAAGGGATGATCTCACGAATTCAAAGGGATGATCTAAACGGCATGATAAGAACATCACCGGGGGCATTGCATGAAATGGGGCACCGCAGCACTCACCAGGAGGAAGGGGTCCCCCATGGGGTCCAGCGGTCAGGGTCGATGCCATTCAGAATGCCTGAAACTTTGAGTCGACTGAAAAGGCATTGCATCAACTGGCACAGCAGCACTCACCGGGAGGAAGGGGTCCCCCATGGGGTCCCAGAGGTCAGGGTCGATGCCATTCAGAATGCCGTGGAACTTCGCCCTGTGCGCCGCCACTGCTGCATGCCCACTGACCTCCGCTGCATATGTGGGGGATACCTGGTGTGGGTGGGGAGGGGTTGTGAAGGCCGGGGAGAGAGAGGAAACGAGGAGAGGGGAATGGAATGAGAAGATGGTTCGCCCTGTGTGCCGCCACTGCTGCATGCCCACTGACCTCCGCCGCGTATGTGGGGGATACCTGAGAGGGAAAGGAAGAGGGAGGGGTGTTGGCGGTTACGGGGAATTGAGTCAAAATCCATCCATAGCCCACCGCACTCATGCATTGCCCCCTTCTTTAGAGTCGCATTCCCCACACATTCCCAGCGCCACACATTCACAACAGCACCACACACGCATGGTCTGCAGTACACTCACGGTGGTGGCTATGTTGCAGGCAGCCATGGCTCGTCCAATCATGTCCTGGCCAAACTCGAGGCTGTGAATGGTGAACACCGTGCGCGCATTGCCCCCTCAGTCAGTACGGTCACATTCCCCACCCAGCGTTGCTCACCAGTCCACATGAACACACACACTGCACAGAGCACACAGCACTCACAGTGGTGGCCATGTCGCATGCTGCCATGGCGCGGCCGATCATGTCCTGCCCGAACTCGAGGTTGTGAATCGTGAACACCGTGCGTGCGTTGGCCCACTCAATGCAGTCACATTCCTTACAAGCACGCCCAGCGGTCCACACACACACATATAGTAGTGAGCACTCACAGTGGTAGCCATGTCGCAGGCAGCCATGGCGCGGCCAATCATGTCCTGGCCAAACTCCAGGTTGTGGATTGTGAACACCGTGCGCGCGTTGCCCCCTCCATACCCGCTGTACTGCTCCCTCTGTAGCCACGCCACCGACGCTGACGACCAGTCGTGGCAATGCAGGAGGTCCTGAGAAAGGAGGGATAAGAAGGGGAAGAGGAGGATGTTTGGATCCACAGCAGTAAGAGGTTGTGACAAGAGGGAGAAAGAGAGAAAGAGGGGAGAGAAAGAAGGTACTGCAACGAGCCGCCCATATGTTGTTCAGTGCATGCTGCGAGTGGCCTGCTTGCAGCAGGAACTCAAGGGCTGCGTGGCAAAGGGTTTGAGAACTCTCAAGACCACCCTACTGGGGGGGAGCAGCCTATGTGCCATGGGGTGTGGGGCGTACCGGGTAACCACCCGCGTGCAGCAGGAAGCTGCGTGGCAGGGGCTTTTGAGAGCTTGCAAAATCACATCACCCTAAAGGGAAGCAGCCTGTGAGCCATGGGGTGTGGGACGTACCGGGGAGCGGCCCGTCTGCAGCAGGAACTCGAGGGCCGCGTGGCAGAAGGTGCCGAAGCGGGCAGCGTCGTCCTTGCGGCCGTAGATGCACCCCACCCAGAACAGCCTGCTCGGGGGAAGACGGAGTGGGGGGAAGGAAGAACGCGGAGAGAAGGGGAGTGTCTTTGTTTGCAGTACAAACTCAACGACTGCATGGCTGAAGGTGCCGAAGCGGGCAGCGTCGTCCTTGCGGCCGTAGATGCACCCAACCCAGAACAACCTGCACGCGTGCAGACAGGGTTGGGAGGGATGCGCAGGAAACAAAACAAAATAATAAAAGAAAGAAAAAATCGCATGAGATCTGTAAAGGGCAGAATTGAAATAGTGCATCCTTTGTATGACCAATCGAAGATGCAAGGGAAACGGTATGACTCAACCCCCCGCTCAGGCTGCGAAGCATGGGGATGCCTCACTCACACACCTTGGCTCTGAAGCCCAATAAGACAAGCTGCGACTCACCCGCTCTCTGGCACTAGGGAATGCACCGGGATGCCACAGCCACAAAGCAGGAAGGGGAATCTTAGACGGCCAGACAGCGACCCACCTGCTGTGTGGCTTCAGGAAGTGCACGGGGACGCCTCACCCTTCCATGTAGCTCAAAAAGGGAGCTACAAACGCACTCACCCGCTGTCTGGCTCCAGGAAGTGCACTGGAATTCCCTCCACCCGGCCGTGCCACAGCAGCCAGCAAGAGAGAGAGGGGATCCCAGTCGATCAGACGAAGCTTTTGAGGCACACAAGGGGAGCTACACACGCACTCACCCGCTGTCTGGCTCGAGGAAGTGCACGGGGACACCCTCCACACGGCCGTGCCACATCACATCAGCCAGCAAGTCAGGAAGGGGAATCCCAGATGACCACACAACGACCCACCTGCTGTGTAGCTCAGACAGGGAGTTATGCACTCACCCGCTGTCTGGCTCAAGGAAGTGAACGGGAATGCCCTCCACACGGCCGTGCCACAGCAGCCACCGCGTGCCGCCCCACAGGAAATCGCCCCTCGCCTCCAGCCCTTGCACCTGCGGGTGTGAGACAGGACAGGACAGGACAGGACAGCACGGGGATGTGGGATGATCAGGATTCTGAGACCCCCACGGGAAGGAGTTTGAGAGTTCAAAGTCTCGACTCAACTGATCATGCTTGAGGCAGTCGTATCGTATTCCAGCAGCAAGCATGTCCAGTTCCCTTGGGTGGTCCCTTGGGAAGTTCCCTTGGAAGGAGTCCTCCTCCACCCGGTGGCCCAGCTCCCTTGGGTGGTTGGTCTGAAATAAAGCATATCGTCTCAAACCATAAGCTCATGCCATCTCACGAAACCCCTACCTTAGCACCTCAAGCCACTCACTCGCCTGGTCGTATTTGAGGCAGAGCCACCTCCATGCGGTGGCCCAGCTCCATTGGGGCTCAAGCCCCACATGGAGGGAGCTGCTTCTGAGAACTCTCAGAAGCGACTCCAAAGCCTACAACCGTCGACTCACCTGGTCATACTTGAGGCAATCGTATTTGGGCAGCACCACCTCCACGCGGTGCCCCAGCTCAATCGTGGCTCGCGACAGCGACGTCACCACGTCGCCCAGCCCCCCAACCTGGTACAGACAGAGGGATGGCAGCGAGCAGCAGAACTCTAGCAGACGGAGTATTTTACAGAACCCTACGCGAATCAGCTAGGATTTTACTACAACTGTTTTCTCCTTTGCTAAACCTTCTCCTTAGAAACTGCTGCTCGCTGGAATGTCTGAACATACGTCGCCCAGCCCCCCAACATGGTACAGACAGAGGGATGGCACGGAGGGATGGCACGGAGGGATGGCACGGAGGGATGGCACGGAGGGATGGCACGGAGGGATGGCACGGAGGGATGGCACGGAGGGATGGCACGGAGGGATGGCACGGAGGGATGGCACGGAGGGATGGCACGGAGGGATGGCACGGAGGGATGGCACGGAGGGATGGCACGGAGGGATGGCACGGAGGGATGGCACGGAGGGATGGCACGGAGGGATGGTACGGAGGGATGGCACGGAGGGATGGCACGGAGGGATGGCATGGAGGACAGACAGAGGTAGATTGGTTTGTGTGTCAGACAACTTGAAAGTCCCTTGTGGCTCGCGACAGACAAGTCACCACGTCGCCCAGCGCCCCAACCTGGTGACACGGAGGGATGGCACGGAGAGGCGATGGCATGGGGGCATGAGGGCATATCATATGGGTGTCTGACCGTGCGCTCCTAACCATTTTTACAACACCTCATCAAAAGCTCCCCCTCCCATCTCTCCCTACCAAGGTCTACTTCCTCTTCCCCTCCCCCTCACCTTGGCAACGGGTGCCATCTCGAGAGCAACATGCACGATGTAGAGAGGCGCCTCCCTCGCAGTGCTGCCAGTCACAGGCACGTGGTAGTCCAGCCCCCCGGTTGTCGTACGCTGCTGTAGAGGGATCGCTGCTGTCCATGGTATGGTAGTCACAACCCCCCCTTCCCGCCACCCCACCGAACCCCGCCTTCCCCTCCCTCCCTCCCTCCCTCCCTCCCTCCCTCCCTCCCTCAATCCCACCCACCCCACCCCATCTCCCCTCCGTCTCACCTTGGCAACGGGTGCCATCTCGAGAGCAACATGCACGATGTAGAGAGGCGGCTCCCTCGCAGTGCTGCCAGTCACAGGCACGTGGTAGTCCAGCCCTCCCCGGCTGTCATACGTGGCCGTGGTGGGGTCGCTGCTGTCCATGAAGACCAGGTCCATTATGTACGCATCCTGAGGCACAGGGACTGGCAGGCGGGTAGAAACAGGCACACAGTAGTACACAGTGAATGAACAGGCACACAGGCACACAGACACACAGGTACGTTGCCGTGAACACCATATCCATTATGTACGCGCCCGGAGGCACGGGACTTGACGGGTGGATGGGAGTGTGGACTTAAGGGATGTGAAGTTGTGTAGGCATGCAGGCACACAGTGACCCTGCAGCAACGCTCACCTTGAGCCACAGAAGCAGAGGGAGGCGGAGGAGAGGGCAGCGGAGGAGGCGGAGAGGGAGCGGAAGGCAGAGGAGGAGAGGAGGGCCGCCCTGCTGCGAGCCCAGCAGGAGGAGGAACGGGCGACGGCCCGAGCCGTGGCTGATGAGGCTCGGCAGAGGCTCGGGCCGATCTGGGAGAGTGCAGGGGCGGGAGAGGAAGGGGTGTGGCGCGTGGAGGTGAAAGAAGGGGCGGAATGGGGAGGGAAGGTGGCAGTGGAAGGAGGGGGAGTTGAGAGGGGGGTGGTGGTGAGGGTGGAGTATAATAGGGCGGGTAGGCCTTTGGCAGGGGCGGGGGAGGTGTGGCTGCACGCAGGGGTGAATGGGTGGCAGGGCGGCGTTACTGTTGTGGAGAAACTGGAGCGTGCTACTAACGAGGATGGTGACTGGTGGGCTGTGGAAGGTGCGTGGAAAATTGTGGACATTGGGGTACAGACAGACAGAAGTCACTAGATGCATGCATGCCAAGATAGTGAGAACTCAGTGGGTCGATTGCCTGCCTGCCTGCCTGCCTGCCCCTGCCCCATATGCACTCGCTTCCCTCGATCCACCTCTCCTTCTTTCCCTATCCCGCCGATGCAGTCAATCTGCCCCACGACGCAGTGCCGCACAACTGGGTGCTTGCAGATGGGCCAGTGGAGAAAGCGGGAGTGTGGGACAACAACAGCCAGCAGGACTCCTCCACCTGAACTAATCCGATGAACCGTCCCAACCTCCTGCCTCTTTCTCCCCTCTCCTCCTTCCCCCTTCTCCTCGGGCATCCTCCTCCTTTCTCCTTCAACTGGGAGTTTGCGGATGGGCTGTCGAGAAAAGCAGGAGTGTGGGACAACAACAACAGCAAGACCTTGCCTTCTGTTACCCTCTCCCTCCTTCCCTATCCCTCGATGCAGTCACTCTACCCCAAGATGCAGTGGCGCTCAACTGGGTGTTTGCAGACGGGCCGGTGGGGAAAGCGGGCGCGTGGGACAACAACAGCCGGCGGGACTTTGCTGGGCGGATTGGAGGCGCGGAGATGATTGAGGCCCTGTTTGAAGGCATGGGGGCGGAGTGCTTGCAACGACTGGAGAAAGAGAGGGAGGAGCGGGAGGCAAAAGAGGCTGATGAGGTGAGTGAAAAGAGGGTTTTAGGGTGGGTAATGGTGGAGCGGATTGAGGCTCTGTTTGTGGGCATGGAGCTGGAGTGCCTGCTGCGACTGGAGGAGGAGAGGGAGGACAGGGACGAGAAAGAGGCTGAGGAGGTGAGTGGAGAGAGAAGGGCTTGGGGGCCGTTCAGGGCTTTGGGGCGGGGTATTGTAGAGAAAATCGAGGCTCGGGTTGAGGGCATGAGGGAGGAGTGTTTTCATTTCAACAACTGGAGCAGGAGAGGGAAGAGCGGCATGCAAAGGAGGCTGAGGAGGTGAGGGGAGAGGGGAGTTTGGGGTGGGGAAGTGAGGCTCTTGTTGAGGGGATGCAGGAAGAGTGCTTGCAACGACTGGAACAGGAGAAGGCGGAGAGGGATGCAAAGGAGGCTGAGGATCTGCATAGAGCGTTCCATAGTAAAATGGAAAAGCGTCAGCTTTTCATTCTCATCTCCTCCACATCGTGATGCAGACACATCTATTCATCTACCTCCTTCACCCCAACCTCTCACCTCGTTGACTCCCTGCAGGCAGCGCGGCGGGCAGAGGTGAAAGCAGCCATGAAGGCACGCACCAAGGCAGCCTTCCTGCAGTCGCAGGCACACGTGTTCTTCACTGAGCCAGCCGAACCGAGAGCAGGAGAGGCAGTGCGCGTGTACTACAACCCCAGCGGCACGGCGCTGCAGGGAAGGGAGAAAGTGTGGATGCGCGGGTCGTTCAATTCAGAAACCGTTCAAAATCGTCCTCCCCCATACCCCCGTCCACTGAGATGAAGAAATCTCGCCCCTCGTTGTTCTCATATACGTTGTCACTGCTGTGGAAAACAAAGTTCATCTGATAGGCTTCCTTCGGTATAGTCACGCTGCACGTCCACCAGTCGTTTGCCACCTCGTTAGAAGGCGTCAGCTCATACTTAAACGGCTCCCACTGCCACTCGTTAAAAGCACCAACGACAAAAATCCCAGCCTTTTCCTTCAGCGCGCTCGCCGGGCGGTGGAAAAAAATATCCACAATTTCGCCTGCCCGAACCTGCCCGGCCTCGGGGTAGAAAAACATTTTAGCTGTGACAAACTCGTGCTCTGCCTGCAGCGCCTATAGCTTCTCCTGGCGATTTCCTCCCCTCATCTCCCTCACAGCAGCTTCTCTCTCCTTCACTGCAGCCTTGTCTAACTCCCTCCCCCGTTGTGCTGCTGACGCCGCTGCTGAGGCTGCTGCTTCTGCTGCCAATGCTACTGCTGCTGCTGCTTCTCCGGCCAATGCGCTTGCTGATGCCGCTTCAGCTGCCACTGCTTTCGCTACTGCTGCCTCTGCCTGTGCCTCTGCCTCTGCCTCTAACCTCTGCAGCTGCTCCTGTCGGCTCCTCTCCTGCATCTCCCTTGCAGCTGCTTCTCTCTCCTTCGCCACCTCCTCTAACTCCCTCTCCCTCTCTGCTGCTGCGGCTGCTTCAGCCACTGCTGCTGCTGCTGATGATGATTCCGCTGCTTCTGCATCTGCTTCTGTTGCTGCTTCGACTGCTGATGCTGCCGCTGCTGCAGCTGCTTCTGCTTCTGCTGCTGCCGCTGCAGCTGCTGCTTCTGCTTCAGCTGCTGCCACTGCCTCTCTCTGCTGCTGTGCTGCTTCAGCAGCCGCTGCACTTTCTGCTCGCAGGCGCATCTCCTCAGCCTGCTCTGCCTCCTGCCGTCCCACGGCCTCCTCCCTCCTCACTTCACCCAACCCTAAATCCTCTCCCCTCACTGCGATTCCCTCGTCCCCCCCCAGTGCCATCCCCGCCAGGGCCTTGAGCCGCTCTGCTACACGCCTCTCCTCCTCCTTTAGATCCACCTCCGTGCCACCAATTGTGCTGCCACGTGTGCTGCTGCTGCTGAAAGGGTTGCTGCCAAGGCTGGTGTTGATGCCAGCAGTGTAGCTGACAAGTACTGTAGCTCGCATCAGCACCATAGCTGACATCCGTACTGTAGCTCGCATCATCAATGGAGCTGACATCAGCACCAAAGCCATCCCCAGCACCATCGCTAACATCAGCACTATAGCTGACATCAGCGCTGTAGCTCACATCAGCACTGGAGCTCACACCACCAACGGAGCTCACATCAGCACCAAAGCCATCCCCAGCACTGTAGCTGCTGTCAGCAACGGGACTGCTACCAGCAGCATCAGCGTCTCCAAGAGTCACCTCCATATCCACACCCAAGTCCGCTGGCGGTGGTGGGTCATAAATAGGCGCCTCCTCCAACACCTCTACCTCCCTCCTGCCGTCCTGCCAACCCTCGGCACCGTAGCTGCTGTCCGCATTGGGACTGCTACCAGCACCAGTGGCGCCAAGGGTCACCTCCAGTCCCACACCCAAGTCCACTGGCGGTGGTGGGTCATAAATAAGCGCCTCCTCCTCCTCCGATGCCTTCACATCCCTCTTGCTGTCCTGTGCACCCACCTGCTCCTCTGTTTCCATCACGACCTCCCCTTCGGCCTCTTCCTCCTCTTCCGCCTCTCCCTCATCTACCACCTCTTCCGCCTCTTCCTCCTCCGCCTCGTTATCCTCTTCCGCTTCCCCCACGTCCTCCTCCTCATCGTCACTCACGGCCACATCAACCACAGGTCGTTCCGCCACGCTGAGAAGCTTCGCCGCTTCTTCCATCACCCTCTGCGCCTCCTGCATCACTCCGGCCACCGCCTCTCCCCCGTCATCCTCATCTTCCTCGGTCTCGTCCTCCCAACTCACACCCTCATCTCTTCCCTCCTCTTCCACCCCACCCACAACCGACCTCTCCTCCCCCTCTGTCCCCTCCTCCCTCTCCCATACCTCCTCCGGAACCTCGTCCTCCCTATCCGCTTCACCATCGTCCACCATGGAAAAGATAATCCCGTCGTCCGTCACCGTGATCCGCGCGTTCTTAAACTCCTCCGGATCCAGGCCGTCCACGTGGCTGATCCCACGGCCCGCACGGACGGCTGTGGTTGGCCGGTGAGCAGGACGGGGAGCAGAGGAGGAGGACGAGGACGGGGCGGAAGCAGCAAGAAGCGACGGAGTCGCCCAAGTAACCCCATGTGTATTTCCCTGAAGGGCTCTTGTGTATTTCCCTGAAGGGCTCTTGTGTATTTCCCTGAAGGGCTCTTGTGTATTTCCCTGAAGCGCTCTTGTGTATTTCCCTGAAGCGCTCTTGTGTATTTCCCTGAAGCGCTCTTGTGTATTTCCCTGAAGCGCTCTTGTGTATTTCCCTGAAGCGCTCTTGTGTATTTCCCTGAAGCGCTCTTGTGTATTTCCCTGAAGCGCTCTTGTGTATTTCCCTGAAGCGCTCTTGTGTATTTCCCTGAAGCGCTCTTGTGTATTTCCCTGAAGCGCTCTTGTGTATTTCCCTGAAGCGCTCTTGTGTATTTCCCTGAAGCGCTCTTGTGTATTTCCCTGAAGCGCTCTTGTGTATTTCCCTGAAGCGCTCTTGTGTATTTCCCTGAAGCGCTCTTGTGTATTTCCCTGAAGCGCTCTTGTGTATTTCCCTGAAGCGCTCTTGTGTATTTCCCTGAAGCGCTCTTGTGTATTTCCCTGAAGCGCTCTTGTGTATTTCCCTGAAGCGCTCTTGTGTATTTCCCTGAAGCGCTCTTGTGTATTTCCCTGAAGCGCTCTTGTGTATTTCCCTGAAGCGCTCTTGTGTATTTCCCTGAAGCGCTCTTGTGTATTTCCCTGAAGCGCTCTTGTGTATTTCCCTGAAGCGCTCTTGTGTATTTCCCTGAAGCGCTCTTGTGTATTTCCCTGAAGCGCTCTTGTGTATTTCCCTGAAGCGCTCTTGTGTATTTCCCTGAAGCGCTCTTGTGTATTTCCCTGAAGCGCTCTTGTGTATTTCCCTGAAGCGCTCTTGTGTATTTCCCTGAAGCGCTCTTGTGTATTTCCCTGAAGCGCTCTTGTGTATTTCCCTGAAGCGCTCTTGTGTATTTCCCTGAAGCGCTCTTGTGTATTTCCCTGAAGCGCTCTTGTGTATTTCCCTGAAGCGCTCTTGTGTATTTCCCTGAAGCGCTCTTGTGTATTTCCCTGAAGCGCTCTTGTGTATTTCCCTGAAGCGCTCTTGTGTATTTCCCTGAAGCGCTCTTGTGTATTTCCCTGAAGCGCTCTTGTGTATTTCCCTGAAGCGCTCTTGTGTATTTCCCTGAAGCGCTCTTGTGTATTTCCCTGAAGCGCTCTTGTTCCTCCTCCTGGACCGGACTGAGCTGACGGATCGCGGCGCGCTGGTGGGGACTCGCGCGACATTGCCATTGCGGAGGAGCGAGGTGGGAACGGTGAGCAGCGAAATCGACGGACTACCGCGCAGAAGGCTAACGGGTTTCGCGAGCTCCTGCGACACGAACGAGCGAAGAGAGCCTTCTGCCCGAGAGAGACAAGACGGGAAAACACGTGTAGTAATAAATAAATTATATAGCCCTTCCACGGAGGCGGAGGCGATTAGAGTCACGCTTTCAGGATGCCAACAAGAGTGGGAGATGCAGAAGCTCCAGACGGACCAAAAGGAATGTCTGGGGGGGTGTATGGGCCAATTTACCTGGTGACAGCTGAAAAATAATCCACTCCTACAGTCCCAAATTGGCACATTACCGAAACTCTGGAAAAGCTAGTGATTGAAAGGTTTGTTCCAGAACTGGTTGATAACTCTCAACGTACATTGTCTTCGTTGCTTCTACCATAAGCATTCTTCGCTGAAAATATTTATAAATGGCCAGAGCATACAGCCTTATGGATAACGTATCTGACTTCACATCAAACGCCGTTAGACCTACAATCAACAAGTGTGATGGATTGACAAGGGGGTAACCTGCAAGCAAAGAGAGGAGAGAAGGGCACATGATTAGAAACTTCAACCTAAATGGATGAACAGAAGTGGGAATTGGACATACCACTAGCTGGATCAGATAAGATGCAAGCTAGTCTAGCAATGCATGTAAAAAATCGCCAAAAATACGGCTGAGAGGGGGCATGGAGCAATGTGTGCAAGAGGTTGGGAGAGGCAGGACAGGGAGTGGAGGAGAGGTGGGGAGGGTTGGGTAGCGTGGATGGAAAGAGAGTGAGCGGGTTCAGCGACACAGCGCTAGCTTTACCAACATGAAGTCCTTCTATATTAGTAATACAGCCTGCAGCGACCAAGTACCTGTCTCCTGTGCCTAGTTCAGTGTGCTGGCCTCGTCGTAGCTTCCCCGCGTTCACGAGCTCGACAAGGACCGGAATTGCCGCGACGACAGCAGCGACGCTTGGAGCGACGGCGAGTGCAGAGGCGATGCACGGGAGGCCGGCGACAGAAGCGAGTGGGAGAGAGCGCCTGGTGAACGTAATGAATGGGAATGATGTTGATCGCTTGGCAACCGCGACATGCGACTTGTTGACGGGGCAGCGCGCGCGAGATACGCCGCGTATTGATCCGCTGTCCACGGCTGAGGGAAGCGGACAGTGCGTGGCGGGGTGGAGAAAAAGGGGCGACGGGGAGAGATTATGGGGAAAAGCGGAGTACGGAGGGTAGAGGGGGCGAGATGGGAAAGAGACACAAGATTCCAAACCTGACGATCAGAGATCGTTAAGATCAGTAGAGAATCTTCAGTTCAGGATTGCAGAACCCGAGGTCTTTATAGTTGCGGCATGCGACCATGACGCAAAAGGTGTTTGGATGAAAGGCGGTAGTGGAGCCACTGTGTCTCATGACGAGCCGGGGGGATTCTCAGGTTATTATCTAACTCAAAACCTAGAGCACGAGTCGGAAAGAGATCGAAGGCCCGAGAGAATTGATCGTACGAGGTTCGGAGCGACGAACCCTCACAATTATATGGGACCGATTGATTTCCATCGACTACCAAGACCTGCGGCCAGATATGCATCGACGGTTGATCACACGCCAAAACGAAACCGGGAAATCTCGACGGCTGACCTTGTCCGCTGAGAAAACGAGGTCGCTGCCTCCAAACGACGAGCCCCCGTCGAATGCGGCGCTGCTTCCGATATACGCTCCGTTGAGGGAATTGCGCGTCGCGTGCGATTTGCTATCGCGCGGAGCGCCGGGCGCGGCGCTGAGCGGCGAGTAGAGGCTGTCGCCGCACGTGACGAGCACGAGACCCGTGCAGAGCGAGCAGGAACACGTCGCGACGCCGAACCCTAGGACGAAGGGACACGCCGAGCCGCCACACAAGGAAAAGAGTGCCATAAACAGAATCCTAGCCCTAGATGTCACGATATGTGTTCCCTTCGGTGTGAAATTAAACTCGGGAAATATTCTCTGAATTGAAACGACCTGTCAGTTTCCCTTTATTCGAAGCGCTCCCCAGTAGAAGCGTCACAGGTGATCAGGTGACGTCAGAAGGCTAGTTCTACAAGTGACGAGGATTTTGAGCAATTGAGTCAACGGCAGAACCAGGCCACTAAAGGAAAGGTTGTTCTGCTCCGTAGATCCATACGGTGGTAGTCTGTGCAGCAGCAGCTTGCCTGCTAGAAGCGTCGTTCGTCTGGCTTTGGGTGGCTTGGTTTGGAGTTCTGTGAGAATGAATCGCTAGAGAGATGGTTGGATGGGATGGGATGGATGAGAGACTAGAGATAAGGTTATATAAGGTCGTAACCATGTACAGCAAAGCATAGAGTAGCTAGAAATATGGTCTACACAAACCAACAGCCCAGAGGCGTACGTAGGAAAACACGTTATTCCCCTATCCAATGGATAGCCACCAGCTCAGCTGGGGAGCTCTTCTATGCTCAACAAAGGGTGGGAGGGCTAGGGGGGGCGGAAGGGGTCCCCAAGCAGCCAGGAAGAGCGGAGGTCTGGGTGGATAGAAGGGGTTCCGTTGTGGTCGAAGACGAGGAAGCGAAGTCAAGTGGCCAGCTTAATACGAGCGGCTGAGCGTTGTTGTTTTTTCACTGATTGTTTCTTCCTGCGCCATAAGAAAATTTTAAAAGCAATGAGGAACTTTGCCAGTATGAGCTGGAGGATTTCAAACCGGGAGGAGGGCGAATCTTGGAACTTGTGTTCACAGCGTGCGTTCCAAATAGCTTTTGTAGATGCCCCAACCAGAAGGCTCCAGGGGGCCACCTGGCCGGCTCTGGAGGCGAGCGGGAAGAGCAGGAGCTCAGGAGGAGGAGAGCAGTGGAGGTGGCGACGAGCGACGGAGGAGAGGGCGGAGATCACTGCGGGGGCCACCCCGCACTCGTAGAAAATGTGGGATATGGTCTCTGTGAGAGCGGCAAGGCAGAGTGAACAAATCCCACGGTCTGCGGCGAAGTTGAAGCGTGAACCCGAAGGAAGAGCGCAAGTGTAGAACCGGTACAAGACGTCGCGTTGGAGGCTGGGTTGCTCCCGTAAAAAGGCATGGGAGAGGTCGGGGAGGAGGGGAGGAGGAGCGGGGAGGACGTGGATCCAGCGGGCGGCGTGGTCGAGGGGAAGTTGAGCGTAGAGCCGGCGACGAATGTCAGCTACGCTTGGGCAGCCGTCCCGAAGGATGTCGAGCCGCGCGCCGAGCCCTGCACCTGTATGGAAGGGGCCTGCAAGCCAGGACCCAACAACGTGTACCGCAGAGAGGGCACCTATGTGGAAGGTGCCATCTCCGATCGACGGTCGGACGATGAATTGGTTGGGCAGGACATGGTAAAGGGAGACTGAGAGTGACGACGGATGGGAGAAGGCCGTGACCTGGAAAGCAATAGTGGGAGAGGTCTCGGAGTCATCTTTAGGGACGAACCACTCCCCAGGGACTGCCGAGGGGGGAGGGGGGGAGCGAAGGGCTGACCACCAAGGTTTGGGGATGGCACGGATGAGTTCGCGCCAGACTCTTCGTCCAGAGGAGGAGTTGGCTATGGGAAACAGTGAGGTGAAGTGTTTGAAGGAGACCACACCAAACGAGTGGAAGATAAGAGAGATCAAATGGCCGACACGGACCTGCTTAGATAGGAGGAAGTGTTCACGCGTGAGAATTCCGAAGGGCTTCCCGTTTGGTTTGAGAATGAAACGATTGAAGGCGGTAGGCTCGCCCATTATACACATAGGGACAAGGCGAGGTGGAGCAATGTTCGGAGTGATCTCTATTAATGCGTGTAGTTCAGCGAGTGCTCGACCTGGGATTATCGTTGGCAGAATGCCTGCTTGAAGGATGGCAGGGTGCGCGAAGAGACAGTGTGTGCCAAATGGGAGGCAGACGGCGGCTCTGGCTACCTCTTCTGATGGTGAGGCGCCGAGGCGACGGAGCGCGCGATGAGCAGCTAGAGCACGGATTTGGGTGGAGGGGGCAATCGCTCCAAGGCCTCCGTGGCGGGTGGAGTTATACAGGAGCCGATTAGGGATGAGACGGATCGCGAGGCCGTGCTCCTTGAAGCGCGAAGAGGATAGAAAGTTCCCGACCAAGACGTCTAAGCGTTTGATAACGTCGGGGGAGGGGGTTTGAAAGCGGCCGGGGAAGGAGATGATAGAGTTTAAGAAGACTGACGCAAGTGACTTGCGGCAGGTGGCTGTGGCACGAAGGGCGGCGAGGAACTTAGCCGTGCGTTGAACGCGAGAGAGAGTCGTGGACCAGGTAGTGGCGCCTGGTTGTGCACGTTCAACGTAGATGCCAAGAATGCGTTCTGCCTCTTGAGGAGTGCGAATGAGAATGGGGCTAGCCAGAAGGATTTGTTCCGGGGAGATGTGAAAAGGAATTATTGAGCATTTGTTCCAGTTGGGGTGTTCTCCTGAGACTGCGGCGAAGGTCCGGAGCTGTATGAGTGTGGTCCCAAGCTCTCTAGCAGAGGAGAGGAAGATGGTGACGTCGTCAGCGTAGCAGGCCATGAGACGGCGCTGCGTCGTAGAGAGGGGGAAACCCGGGAGGAAGAGCGATAGGTAGCGCTGTAGGATTTCAATGACACACACAAAGAGGAGGGGGGCGAGGGGGCATCCTTGTCGGACCCCGGTTCGGACTGGGAAGGTGGGTCCAGCGAGGTTGTTAACAGAGATGCAGGTGGAGGTGCTAGTGTGCATGAGGCGAACCCAGGCGATGAACTGCTCGGGGAGTCCCACCCTGGCAAGCGCTTGGAAGAGGAAAGCTCGATCGACCAGGTCATAGGCCTTGCGGAAGTCAACCGTTAAGGCGAGAAGTGGGGTTTTCGTGATTGTGCTCCAGTCGAAAATGTCGAGTGTATCGTTGATCGTATCGCCGATTTTCCTGCTTTTAATTAAAGCGGTTTGGGAGGGGTGGATAATCAGGGGAAGAGCGAGTTGCAGCCGATTGGCAAGGCATAAGGCTAGCACCTTGTAGTCCGAGTTCATGAGGGTGATAGGGCGGAGGTTGTCGATCATAGAGGAGCTACCCCTCTTGGGAATAAGGACTGTGCGGCCTGACAGCATTGACGGCGGGAGGGTAGCGGAGATGTGCGGTGAGGAGAAGAGTGAGAGAAATGCGGGGGCGAAGCGGGTCTTGTATTGTCGGAAGAGCTCGCCCGGGATGCCGTCAGGGCCGGGGGTTTTGCCACGGGAGAGCTGGTTTAAGGCCTTGCTAATTTCCATTAGGGAAAAGGGAGCTTGCAGATGGTTGAGGAGTCTGGGGGGGAGTGAAGAGGGGGGGATATGAGAGACTAGAGAACGAAAAACTGGGAGAAAGCGAGAAGGAAGTGAGGGAGGCGATGCAAAGGCAGCGAATGCGCAGTGCACAGGGAAGGCCATGTGACGCCAGTGAGGCGAGGTGAGGTGAGTTGGGGTGGGGAGCTCACAGAATGTGGATGGATTTATCGGTGGGGTGTTTCACTCTATTGTAAGTGTTGCTCTGGATGTGACTTTTTATGGTTCACCACTGTCATTGTTTCCACATTTTGTTGGAGAACACACCAGAGTTTCCCACGCCTAAACACAGCTTGGTGTATAACTCCAAATCTGGTCGAGCAAAAGAGTCTAAAAACCCTTCAAGCACAATGTGGGGGGGGGGGCGGGGGCGGGGGGGGTCAGCTTCAGCGACCACAAACATATGTCAACAACGCCGTGGCAGCAGTGACTGGCACAGATTCGGATGGCATTGGTCGCCTGAAGCAGCGGCGCGGCAGTCAGAATTGGTACTGTAGGAGGGAAAGAAACTGCACATTCCCAGTCGTCGCGGTTCCAGGAGGTTCAACGAACATCCAGGCAAGAGGGTGATGGTGGTGACGTGGCGGTGAGATGATTGGGCAAGCGGCGCTGCGGTGGTGGCTTGGAGATTTGGTTTTGGGGTGGATACAGCACCTGCCACGGCGATTTGCTTGTGTGGTGAACAGTGGCAGACTTACATTCCGTACAGTGCACATCACCTGCTTTGTGGCCTGAGGATAAACAGGTGGGGTCTGTGGGGGCAGCCTAAGATTTTGTTGCTCAACTCACGTGATTCACGCGAACGTCGTTACTTCGTTAAACGAGTCACAGGAATGTACACTACGTCGTCTTTACATACCCGCACCAAAAATCTCATATTTCATTCATACATGAGTTAGTGCGCCATAAACAAGGCACCCCGTCACACTACTCCAGCGCCAGCCAATAACACTAGATCTTTAAGAGCTGGGGATGTAGCACCAATGGCTACAACTTACCCCAGACCCAGAATTGCATCACGAGTGATTTGACCCCCTCTGATTGGCCTTTACAGCTGCAACTCGAGCTGCCACGGCTGCTCGATTGGCTGCGGACACGGCCTTAGACACCCGGTCATCCACTCTCAACACATTCTCGGCCTTGGCTGCTGCCCGTCGTGCCTCCTGGAAGAAACCAACCAACCATACCAGAGAAATTGGAGAGGTGGGGGGACTCTGAGAAGGGTGAGGAATGGCATGCTATGCCTACGAACCCACTGGAGCACCCACCCACCTGAACGGCATGCAGCACCTGAGCACCCAGATAAACAGCCTGAGGACCCACCTGAACAGCCTGACCACCCACCTGAACGGCATGCAGCACGCGGGAGTGGTTGACAGCATTGGGTGACGAGGCAGAGTGGGGCGTGTGCGGTGTGAGTGGCGTAGAAAGCCCCATCCCACCAGCAGACAAAGGAGTCCGTACCGGCGACACCAACCCACTGCCTCCCCCTCCTCCTCCCACCAGCTCTGTCGACACTCCCGGGCCTCCTCCCGGCCCTCCTCCCATTCCTCCTGCCGCCCCTCCCGTCATCCCTGCTCCACCCCCTGCTCCTGCCCCTACCCCACCACCCAACACCCCAGGCGTTCCCCCGGTCCCACTCTCCCCACCACCACCCCCCACCCCGCCCGCACCCCCAACCCCAACACTCCCACCACCCCCAACCCCCCCACCAGCTCCACCCCCCAGCGTCCCTCCACCCGGCCCACTCCCAGTGGGCGAGGCCGGGAGGGTGTTGGTGCTGCGGGTCTCGAGGGCGCCGAGGTGCCAGTAGCCGGCGCGCATGTCGCCGTTGCGGAAGGTGTACATGCCCAGGCCCTGCTTGCGCCCCTCGTGCCACGCGCCCTCGTACCGGTGCCCGTTGCTGAACTCGTAAACCCCGTACCCGTGCATGCGGTCGGCAAAGTACTCCCCTGCGTACGTGTCGCCGTTCCTGATGGGTGGAAGGGGGGGTGGTTTGGGGAATGAGGTGAGAGACCATAGTGGCATGCCTGCCTGCCCTCGTACCGATGCCCATTGCTGAACTCGTACACGCCGTACCCATGGATGCGGTCAGCGAAGTACTCTCCTGAGTATGTGTCGCCGTTCGTGGTTGGGAGGGGTGGGTGAATGGGAGAAGAGAGGATGGTTTCGGACCGGTGCCCGTTGGGAGGGTTGCTAAACTCGTACACGCCGTACCCATGCATGCAGTCTGCAGAGTATTCTTCCCCGCCTAGGTGTTGCCGTTCCTGGTGGTGAGGGGAAGGTTGGTTGGTGAAGAGGGAGAAGAGGGGAGTGTCTTTTGCCCTCGTACTGGTGCTTGTTGCTCAAGCAACACACGCCACAGCCGTATGAGGCAAAGAGCGTACGAACAGCCGTGCAGCTGCATGCAAGGTGCCGCTGCTCGCAAAGTGAAGGTGGCCATAGCTGCCGACTAAAAGTGGCCATAGCTGAAATCCAAAAGTGGCCACAGCTGCAACAGCAGCAAATCTACAAGTCTATTCACAAGGCATCTGCACATCTCAAACTATTCTCTCACCTGAAGGTGTACTTGCCGAATCCATGCTTGGCGCCCCATGCAAACTCGCCCACATACTTGCTGCCATCGCCGCACGTCTGCACTCCCACCCCATGGCTCTGCCCTTTCGCCCACATCCCCGCAAACACATCCCCGGTATAAAACCTATACACCCCATACCCCTCCCTCAGCCCCTTCCTGTACTGCCCGCGATACCGACTCCCCCGCGACCAAGTCTCAATCCCATACCCATCGTATTTTCCGTCCACCCAGTCGCCTTCATACCGCCCGCTGCCCGAAAAAATGTACACTCCGCTGCCCGAGCATCTGCCCTGGTAAAATTCTCCTTCGTACCGGTCCCCGTTGGCATACACGTGGATCCCGCACCCAGATGCCGCTCGGGAGGCGCTACGAGACGAAAGACCCGCCGCACCGGCAGGTCCGGCAGCTGCTGTGGAAGACCCCTCTCCTCCCCCGCTATCCGAACCACCCTCCCGGTCCCTCTCCCTATCTCTCTCCCTCTCACCGGCAGCACCAGTGCCACCACCACCATCATCACCACCACCACCACCATTACCATTATTACTGATCCCTCTCCCTCCCCCCCTGCCACTACGATTGTACCCTAGATATTCCCAGCTTCCGCCCCCACTAGACGCAAACTTCTTATCCAGAGCAGAGTAGTTCCCTGTTCCTCCTGTCCCTCTTAGCCTGAACGGCCGAGGGCCAGACGCATACCCCATTCCTGCTCCGGCTGCTGCCGCCGCCGCCGCTGCTGCCCCTCCCCCTCCCCCTCCCCCACCCAGCCCCCCAAACGGCAAGTAATGCGCCCAGGAAGGGAGGATACTCCCCCCTCCGCCTCCGCCTCCCCCTCCCCCGCCCCCTCGGCCCAGCCCAGACCCGATTCCCAACCTGCCAAACCCAGTACCGTCCGCCACGGCCCTCACCACCACCCGTTTCACTCTCTGCAGCCGCTTAACCAACAGCCGCGAGCGGGGGAACGCGGTGTGCAGCAGCAGCGCCAGGCGATCAAAGAAACGGGGGAAGGCGGAGCGCAGAGCAGCAGCAGCGCCGAGGAGTAGGATAGAGAGAGCTACCAGCTCCACCCAGGTGGTCCCGGGGGGGGTTTCGTAATCCTCCTCGTCAGGCGGAAACCAGTAGAAGACTGAGAGGAATCTGAAGCCCCGCAGGTGCCAGAGGATCAAGACGAGGGCGAAAAAGAGCATGGCGCTTAGGGTTTGAATGTCCACTCTATGGTGGTTCTCCCAGAAGGTTGAGATTGAGTGTGTAGCTGCTGCTGCAGCTGCTGCCGTTGCTGATGATGGTGGTGTACTCGTTATAGAGGGGTCCGGGAGCGACGATAACGCGGCTGCTTCTGCTAGGGATGTCAAGCTGCCTATGTTTTTCGTTATTGTTGGGGATTTGGGGATGGAGCCAATTCGTCGAAATCCTGGTCTCTTGGAACCTGACGCTCCTCCCCCTTTGCTGCCTCCTCTTCTAGCCCCCCAAAACTGAAACCCTAACGTCGTCTCTATAGCATGTATAGCTCGTCCCGGTAGCTTACCGAGTCCCTCTACAAACGCGTACAGCCCCTGGGACGCTGCTGACACGTGGCTGTAATCGTGTGGTGGGATCTTCACTCGCCCTCTCCGCCAATCCTCCTCCGCCTTCTCGTCTTTCTCTTTGGGTTCCTTCGCCCGCCCTTCAGGTAACGGTCGCGAGCTCTGCGCTGGGATTGGCTGCTCGCGTTCTAGGGTTTGCTGCCCTGGCCGACCAATCCCGGAAGAGGACGCTGTAGCGGGGTGATCGTCCCATGCGGGCGGGACCGTGATTGTGATTACTTCCGGGGTGGGCGACGAAACGGGGGGCCCTAGATTCACCCCGCCTATATTCAATCCGCCTATTCCGGCTCTCGCGCCGCCTATCCCGCCGCCACTTCCGCCGCTTATTCCGCCCGGGAGCTGCGCGCCTTCGGACGAGACGAACGTGGCGCGCTTGTGCGCCGCGGACGGGATCAGCACCTGGTGGTGATGTGGATGGTCGGCCTGCAGCCACGTGGACGTCCCTCCGCCCACCGCCGCGCCGCCCGACGGGATGTTAAAGACATGCGGGGAGAAACCCGACGCAACTGTCGCGGTTCCGCCGCCTTGGTCCTCGACTGCTGAAGAAGAGCTGGTCGCGCCGCCGCCGCCGCCGCCGGTGCCAGTGGTGATGCTGATGGTAGTGCTGGCGACGGCCGCAGAGGCAGCAAGGCGCGGGAAAGGCGGGGAGAGGTGCAGGGACGAGGAGGGAGCGGCAAACGCGGCGCTACCTCCGGTGATGCCGCTGCTGGTGCTGGTGGTGCTGCTGCTTCCAGTGCCGCTGCCCCCAGTAACTCCGCCTGGTAACCCTGTAACGGGTAATCCTGTCCCTGTTCTCCCGCCAACGGCCCCTGTAACCGGTAGGCCCGACCCTGGTGTTGCCGAGTACATAGGAGAAATTGGAGGGAACCCTAGCCGCTGTCATGTGACGTGGAGAGAGATGTGAATGAGTCAGATTGAGGGGTGTCTGAGTCGGACAGAGTCGTCGCTGAGTCACACTGAAGGGTGGCTGAGTCAGACTGACACGCGGCTGAGTCAGACTGGGAATTAGGCCGTTCTATAAATCAAGATGCGGCCCGGCCCAGTCCGCGACCTCACGCGGCTGCGACCAACGTAGCTGCGACCAACGTAGCTGCGACCAACGCGGCTGCGACCTAGTCAAATTACGGAAATGTCGAAGACGATAACCTATGAGCCATGATGGCGAAAGTTCACAATTCGTGGTGACGACCTACTGGCAACGGTCCTCTGCTCCTGATTCCCATTATCTTTCAGGTTGACGCCAACGCCGGAGAACTCGCCAGCTGAACGTCAACGTCTGTAACCTAGATAGACGGGCTTTAGATGGCGCATATGCGGAACGACATACACGGTAGGGCGGCGGGGGCTTTGCAGAAATCAAATGCGCATCATCGGGGAGATATGCTATGGACGTCTTTATTCTCGGAACTAGTAAGGTTAGGCTTTTGATGGAGCTTCCATAATTGCCCAGCTTTAGGATTCAAGTAGCATCACTCAATCCGCTTACTAACTGCATTCAAGGAACACCAGGATATCAATCAAATCGCATTCAACCCTTTTGTGAAACAATCATATCGTCTTTGACCCTGTGAAGAATGATAGGTTTCCTTGGCTTCGGGCCTTCAGGCCCTGGGACATCACAATACACTTACTACCCCGTTGCATCCATTGCATACTAAAAAACATAAAGTTGAAGCTTTTTCCTTGGGGTAAGTGCATGCATGCACGAGTGAGTGCCAGGGTGTGTGTGTGCCATGTGTGAGCTAAATAGTGTGTATTGCACTTCCTGTGTCTTCGTTCATCTCACCGACATATTCATAAGCCCCCTCACTGTGTTGTTAAAGAGTGTACACAAGCATTGATACCATAAATTGATGACTATCAATCACCCTCAACTCAAATGACATCTCGTACATTTACTTCCGCAAAAGCATCAGCTACTCCTACAATATCTTGGAGAACATCAGGAACACTATAGCTAATATTATTCAATGCAATATCAAAATCAGCAGCATATGCTGACTCCACAATCTTGATAGTGTCCTGAGACATGACATGACAGTGAGGGGGAGCATTAAAGGGACAGCAAAAGACCATCAGTGGGCACAAAGGCAAGAGTTACCAAACATGTTTGCTACTACTTCAGATGATCCAGAAGGAAGGGAAAAGCATGTACGCACTGTACCAACTCACTGCTAAGAGATGAACAGCGAAGCTGCATACCTGATCATACGCCGCACGCATGCGCTGCTCCGCCCTTGTCTTGTGGAACTTCGAACCCAGCTTGAAGATCTTCATTGCGTTTTCCGTCGACCGGTTCAGCCGCGTCACCACCCGCAGCATATCCTCTTGCAGGGTTTCATATTTGCCAGCAATGTCGTATTTGATTATGTCCAGTCCGCACAGCTGTGTCTGCGCGCAGATTGAAACAAGCGACAGGGGACACATGGAAAGGGAAATCACACCATTATGTAAAGGAAGGATAACAAATTTGAAGAAAAGAAAAAAGAAAGAATGAGAAGAAAAGTGGCCTAACCAACCGAGGAATTATCACAAGAACGTGTACCGTCCCTTAGCCAGCAAAGCCACATCCCAGCTGCAGACTCAATGGTAGAGATTTGATACCAACAAAGCAGCAGCGTTAAAATATTACATGTTGCACTGGACAGTAGCTTCAAGTCTGTTCTTACTTTTCAAAAGCGACTCTGGTCTGACAGTAGGCTTCATGATAGATGATGAAAGCTATAGGTCCCATATGGTCCCATGCGGTCCAGTACAGTCACATGCGGTCACGTACGCTAAGTCTGCTTTCTTACCTGTGTGGCAATATGTTTATCCCCATTACCGCCCGTTTCTCGGAGAATCTCTGCCACCAAGCGAGCCGAATTTTTGAAGCTCACAGTGCTGTTCACCGCGAACCCGTGACGCTTCAAGCGGTCATGGCCCAACAACAGCTGCACGGCACGGTAATCACAAGGAGAGAGGCGTCAAGGCGTACGCAGGCGGTCTTTCGACGCGGTCACACACACTGGACAATCATGCATTGGTTCAAACACAGATTGGACAGATTGGTTCTTGAAATTTCCCAAAACCAGCTTGTCTCATGCATTGGCTTGAACTAAGAGATTCGGACAAGCATCCGATGCAATATCAGAATGCGTACCGACGGGGCACCTCCCCCTCCCCTCCTCTCCATCCCCTACACCTCCAGCGCAGCAACCCGTACAGCAGCAACCCACCTCGTTCCACATGCTGACATGGCACCTCATCTCGATTCCCCTCACCAGCAGCACCGTAAGCCACCCGATCTAACCAGCGCAGCAACCCGTTCAAGCAAAGCGGCAACCCAGAAACCCACCTCATTCCACATGCTGACGTTGCGACTCTCCCCGCCATTAGCCAGCTTATCCCCGTGCGCGGACAGCAACCGTGGCAGCGGGTGGTGTACAAACACCACCTTCACCATGTGAGCGAGTTTAAAAAATCATAGACATCACATCAACCCACCTCGTTCCACAGGCTGACGTTGCGGCTCTCCCCGCCGTTAGCCAGCTTGTCCCCGTGCGCGGACAGCAGGCGCGGCAGCGGGTGGCGCACAAACACCACCTTCAGCAGGTCGCGCCGCGTCATGTGGAACATCACATCGTCCTCGCCCATCTCGCGCCAATTGAGCATCAGCCCGTTCACGCCTATCCCCCCTTACCAGCAGCGCAGCAACCCACACAAGCAGCACAGCAGCAACCCACCTCGTTCCACATGCTGACGTTGCGGCTCTCCCCGCCATTAGCCAGCTTGTCCCCGTGCGCCGACAGCAGGCGCGGCAGCGGGTGGCGCACAAACGCCACCTTCAACAGGTCGCGCCGCGTCATGTGGAACATCACGTCGTCCTCGCCCATCTCTCGCCCCATGAGCGTGAGCCCGTTCACGCCCGCGTGGTGCGTGTGGAAGTAGGATGTGATGTGCTTAAAGCCCCGCTCGCTGCGCATCCACATCTTCCAGCTCGTTGACGCCACTTTCTGAATCTGGCAGTACATCACCCCGAGTTTTTCTGCCACGGGGGGGGGGGGGGGGGGCAGGAGACATGGGGGGATGAGGGGAGGCGGGGATGCGGGGAAGTGGGGGTGGGGTGGGGGGAAGGGGAACGGGGGAGAGGGGAAGGCAGGCGGCTGTGAGGGAGGGGTGGAAGTAGGAGGCGATGTGCTGCAAGCCCCGCTCGCTGCGCATCCACATCTTCCAGCTCGTTGACGCCACCTTCTGAATCTGACAGAACATCACCCCGAGCTTCTCTGCCAGGGGGGGTGAGGATGGCGGGATAATGGCGGGGAGGGGTAGGGGGATGGGGGTTGAAACGGGAGGGAATGGGAAAGTTCGTGTGTTCTAGCCTTATCCAGCAGCTCTGAATGGAAAGTCATATCCACGTGAAATACATGCTTTTGAACCGCTTTCAAAGGAAGAGCATTGGGATCTGGGGACAAAGATACGTTGGACTGAACGTTCCATGAGAATCACAACTTTTGTGAGATTTCAATACTTGGGAACAACATGGGAAACCACAGGGACATAAGAAACGTTTCAAAGGTCCCACCGTGCATCTCCCACCGTCCATCTCCCACCGTGCATCTCTTACCGTCCATCTCTTACCGTCCATCTCTCACCGTCCATCTCTCACCGCCCATCTCTCACCGTCCATCTCTCACTGCCCATCTCTCACCGCCCATCTCTCACCGCCCATCTCTCACCGCCCATCTCTCACCGTCCATCTCTCACCGCACCGTCCATCTCTCACCGTCCATCTCTCACCGTCCATCTCTCACCGTCCATCTCTCACCGTCCATCTCTCACCGTCCATCTCTCACCGTCCATCTCTCACCATCCATCTCTCACCGTCCATCTCTCACCGTCCATCTCTCACCGTCCATGATCATCTGCTGTGCAAACCGCAGGGAGGCCAGGGGCGGCAGCATGGGCGAGGGGCAGACAGCAGGCTCCACCGCAGCAGGGGGGAGGCCGAGGGGACCCCTGGCAGCAGCAGCCAAGGCCGTGAGCAGGCGGGCCTCGGGGGAATCGTGGAGGGCAAAGACGAGCGAGGGCGCGTGGGCCAGAGCGAGAAACTCCACGATCTGAGGGGTTGGTGTGGGGCGGGGCGGGATGGGGTGGGGTGAGGTGGGGTGGGGTGTTGAAGGGGTGCATTCGCTCATTGAATTGCGATTGACCTTTGGGTAGATTTCTAATAGAACTCCATCCGTGTCACACCCATCCATCCCACCACAGTTTCACCAGTTGAGAAGGCACATACCTCCAGTTGAGCACACAGCTCCCTTCTTCCTCGTCCTCCAACCACCCACTTCCACCCCCACCAACTCTCCATTCCGCCACTCCTTAAGTCGCTCCTCCCCCATTGCCCCGCCCCTAGCACACCGCTCCACCACCCACTCCTCCTCCCCCACTTCTTCCCCCCTCTTCCCCTCCCAATCCCTCCCCAGATGCCCCCCGCGCCCCCACCCTCTCCCCAGACACTCCCCCCCGCCCATCCCCCCCACCATGCCCCTGCTCCGCACCCCAACTCCCCCCTCTTCCGCGTTGCCTGCAGCACCAGCGGTGCCCGTGACTCGTGGAACATGCCGGCCACAGCCTGGGCGGCAGACGGCACTGTAGCAGCCACAGTGAAGTCGCGGTCCAGGCGGCGCAGGGCGGCGTAGGCGATGCGGCGGGCGGCGCAGGAGGAGAGGGAGTGGGAGAAGGGGAGCGTGTGGCAGTTGGTGCAGGAGGGGGGGACGAGGAGGGAGAGGTTGGCGGGGCAGCCGGGGCAGGAGTCCAGAGGGGTATCCTGATGGGGGAAGTGGGGAGGAGAGGGAATGGGAGAAGGGGAGGGTGTGGCAGTTGGAGCAGGAGGGGGGGATGAGGAGCGAGAGGTTGGCAGGGCAGCCAGGGCAGGAGTCTAGAGGTGTGTTCTGATGAGGGAAGGGAGGGAGGGGGGGGGAGATGGGGAGATGGGGGGAGAGAAGGGGGGGGGGGGGGGGGTGGTTGGGAGGGGGATAGGCAGGCAGGAAAGGTGAGGCTGCTGAAGTTGCATAGTGTTTTTGAAAATTCTAAAAAACACTAGGCTGCTTAAAGCCCATGTGGCAGAGTGGTGCATCAGTCTGAGTGACGACAGCGAAGGATACCCACTGAGCTGAATGACTGCAGCGACCGAGTGATAATAGCGAAAGGCTTTCACGGTTGAAGTGGGTGATTCTAAAGGTAAAGGCGAGGAAGGCGGGAGGTACTTCCTTCCTACAGGATACAGAGAGGAATAGAAGGGTTCGAACCACAGCAAGCTCTGGTGCCAATATTAGCAACACTTTTAGCTAAGAGGGAGGTACTTCCTACGGGATACACATCTGCCCACCTCTAGGAACACTGCTGTGGATTGCTGCACACGTGGCAGGTCCTCTGCTGCCAGCTGGCGGAGGATGCGCTGAGTTGGACGCAGCGCCTGCAGGCTGGAAGCCAGCTCAGCAGCGGACCAGCAGAGGTGGGCCTGCGGTGGGAGGAGAGGTGGGGAGCGGAAGAAGTGAGGAACTTTTAGAAATAAAATGTTAACAAGATGGGTTTGCGAGGGCGGGAGGGGGAGCAGGGGAGAGGGGACAGGGGGGGTGGGGAAGGTGTTGGGGGGGGGGGGGGGAGGGGAGCGAGGGGGAGAAGGGGGAGGGAAGGTGAGACATTAGAAAAAATACACTTCAATTTCAAGGACAAGTGTGTGAGGTTGGGTTGGAGGAGTGTTGGAGGGAGCGACAAGGAAGGACACAGCTGCACTCATACTTCCTCTCTCTCCCTGCCCCACACACCACACACCCCTCCCTGCCGCACACACCACACGTCACATACCCCTCCTAGTGATGCCCGCGCATGTTCAGACAGCAGCATTCGCACGAACATGCCGTTGCCGTTCCCATTCCCCTCCTCGCTCCTGTTCCCGCTCCCGCTCCCCTGCCCGCTCCAATTTCTGCTCCCGCTCGCAACACCGCAACCTGCGGCTTGGCGTGCGCTGCTGCTGCACTCGCCGACGCACACCTGTGTTGTTGCGAGGAAGCGGGAAGCGGAGGGGCGCACGCAGTTGGTTCGGGTTGTAAACCCTAAACCCGAAACTTGGGGCACACATATAGGTAGATAGGTTGAAATGAGCTACAAGTGGTGGTGGAAAGGGGTAGGATGGAATGAGTGGCCAGGGGAAAGTAGGGGGGATGCTGTCACACACTGATTACACAACTCACCTCTTTGTATCAAGTGGCACATCACTATTGTGTTTGCAAGGACAAACCACAGTCTCCTCAATTTCTGAGGCGCCTCAAAATCCGCGTGAACTGCGACGACTTTTTCGGCGCCGCAAAAATCATCTTTTGTATCAATCAAGTGGCCCATCACTGCTCTGTTTGCAAGGACAAACCACAGTCTCCTCAATTTCCTGTATGAAGGGGCAGATACCATTTTCCTGCTCAGGAAAAAAGGTAACCCACCCACCTCTCTGTACGAAACCGTGAGTTCCTGCTGCGCCTGTTCCAGCAGGTCGGCCACACATGCTGTTGTCACATCGTCCACAGAAAACCTGGCAAGGTTGGTGCGATTAGGGGCGCAGATGACGACTTTTGAGGCGCCTCAAAAGTTGTGTTCCAGCAGGTCGGCCACACATGCTGTTGTCACATCGTCCACAGAGAATCTGGCAAGGGTGAGAACAGGGCCGCAGCAAACATACAACAAGAGCGCAGCAGCAGCGGTAACGGCGGCGGTAGCAGCGGCGGCAGCAGCAGCAGCAGCAGCAGGGAGGATTTAGGACCTCCAGAATCAGCAAGCATGAAAAGATGAGGGATCTGGCCTTTTGAGCACTAACCATGGAGCATGTGCGTATGCATGTGCGTGTACTGTGCGTGTACTGTGCGTGTGTGTCCATGTGCATGTGCATGTGCATGTGCATGTGCTTATGCATGTGCTTATGCATGTGCGTGTGCATGTGAATGCCTGTGCATCTGCATGTGCATGTGCATGCCTGTGCATGTGCATGTGCATGCCTGTGCATCTGCATGTGCATGTGCATGCCTGTGCATGTGCATGTGCATGTGCATGTGCATGTGCATGCATGTGCATGTGCATGTGTACAGGGTACCTTTGGTCATAATGCAGAGCGAAGAGCGAAGAGAAGGAGGAGGCAGCGTGCACGTGGCGGGCGTCTAGCATGAAGCTGGCGTCAAGCACCCACAGCGCCTTCACAGACAGCCCTGCCGCCAAGGCTGTGCCTCGCACCCCCGCCAGCGACACCAGGCGCGCTGCTGTGCTGCCCTGGTGGTGGGAATGGGGGCAGGGTGGAACACAACCGCGGGTTGGGGAACAGGAGTGCGGGAGGAATGGGGGTTGAGAGCGCGAGAGTGGGAGATGTGAGGTAAGGTCAATCAATGACACCAGAAGGTATGATGGCGTGAGCAAGCAATACGAACATGCGGAGCGGAGAGGAGGTGAGGACGTTTGAGGCGCGTCAAAAGATACCAGAGGGTATCATGGCGTGAGCCAGATGAACATGCGGAGCGATGCGATGCGACGATGGACAGAAGGCATGCCGATTCATCAAGCTTTGCTTGCGAGAAGATATACGCGAGGAGACAACAACGAGAGTCGTTGGGCGCGAGCGAGCGCACCTCTGTTATAATCACAACGTCGTATTGGAATAGCCCAGAAAGCACCGCCGCGCATGACTCCTCGGAGGAAGATCCCAATCGGAACCACCGATCGTGGTGGTACTGCGAGCTCCCAATCGGAACTGGCCTGCGAAGCCCCGCGAAACCGCCGAGTAACGCGACGAGACCCGTCGCGAGCAGAGCAAGCAGAGCAAGCAGCAGGCGTTTGTCGCAGAGGAAACGGCCAGAGGCCAGCAGCGGAAGCAGCAGCGCGGCAGAGGCGCGGCGCGGGGGCGTGAGGCTTCGGCGACGGAAGAGGGAGTGGCGGCGGGAGCCGTGGGCTGAAGCTTGGGAATGGGAATGGTTGCTCGTCGTCGCAGCCGCCGCCGCGCCAGACGCTTGGGGTGCGGCTCCATGATAGAGCAGCAATGAGTCGAATGATACTGAAGATGATGATAACGATGATGGTGCTGATGATGAAGCAGCGATGCCAGGTGGTGACTTGTTGAGAGCAACAGGTGTTGGTGATGCCCTGAGGGATGGAGGAGAGCCCCGCGACCTGACACAGAGTAGTAGCAGAGAAGTGTGAGGGAGGGACAGGTTAGTAGCAGGAAAGTGGGACAGATCAAGTAGCAGAAAAGTGTGAGGGACAGACAGTGGCCACTTTATAACGTAAGGGGTGGGGGTTTGGGGTTGGGGGGGAAAGTGGGGAATGATGCGTGAAGTGTTCTGGGGCCTCATAGATTATCTTTTTTATCTCTCAAAACCGAATGTTATGCTCATGCAGCCAACATCACACGCACGTTTTGTGATGTGCCATCAGGAGGGCACTATGGATGCTCATATTGAGATTAATCCACGACCTCGTCGTCTGGCCCGTCGATTGAACCGACTCCGAGTCGCTGTCTGACTGTCAGGTGCCTTTTTGAGTCTGACTCAAAAATCGACTAAGAGTTGACTCAAGATACTGAACCGGCTTGATGTCTTTCCGTCAGAAGCCTTTTAAGGAGAACGTCAGTCTAAACTAGACAGCACACAATCTGGCTGAAAAAACGGGAGCTGCTGTGACTGATTCGCGCGGAAAGCGATGCGAACAATACATGATGCTCGTCACGAATCATGCTTGATCATTATTCATTAGCCGCTACTACCACGCTTCCTCACGATTTCCGATTCATCATGAGCAGCAACTACACGTCGTCACGGAAGGGAAACTAGCACTAGGACGGTGCTCCTCTTACAATGAGGGGACGGAGAGTCGCGTCGCGCCATGGCAGCGGAAGACCTCGTACCGCACCGATCTTCAGGTGATTCGCTAGCTTTGTTCGTTGCGGCGGGTGAGACCAGGGGCGTCACCGACCAACGCCTTGGTACTACAGGACAAACAGCAGTACAGTGACCACTACAGTAAACTACTTCTAGTACAGTACACTAATCCGTCGTACTACTAATTACCCTGCCCGTGGTTCTGCAGAAGCATCTTCTCTGGTTCCGCTGCCCGTGGTTCTGCACGCGGGTTCGGATCATTGCACACAGGGGATGCAGTACAACGCATTACAGCGTCAGGGGGTACCGTCACTAGTACTTTACCGGTACAGGTATACCTTTACTCGAGGAATCTTCAGGAGAATCTATGATTGGTGCCGCGCCGCAGCTAGGGTATTCCTTTCCCTCTCTGCTGCTGGTGCCAACTGTGCTGTGCCGCAAACAAAGCTCCACCTTGCAACCGCGAGCCTCGTAAATGTGAATTGCTGCAGGGTGGCGTGACTGTGTCGAGCTCATGGTAAGTACGTGTACAAGGTGCAGGTGCACTCTGCTCTGCTCCGCCAGAGATCCAGGGAGCAGTGCTGCTTTCTTACTGCATCTATCTCTCCTGTCTCCCTCCCTCTACCCCAACCGTCCATATTCCTCCCTCGGTACATCCGAGATTCCGCGTGTTCGAGCGAGCCGGTACCCCCAACGCCGCACAGCGGGACACGCGCGACGCGAACCCCCACTTCGCTGCCTTCCTGCGGAAAGCCCTAGAGAAACTGGGCGGCCGCCAAGGGGGTGCCATACCAGCACTGAACCCAACACCCGAATCTCGTTACTCTGCAAAGTAGAAAAGAAGAAAAGAATACCAACAAAAGGTATGAATTAACATGCTAATATTTAGTGCATGCACATCTCACCGAAATCAGTGAAATCTCGGTGAAATCCACGTCTCCTCGAATTTTTTTGGAGGACAGGGTGTCTCTCATTATTACCCAGCGAACAAGGAACCGGATCCATCAAATCCATGTGGGTTACGAATCATGTGGTTGAGGATTTGAGGATTTTCTTGACATCAATTACCAGCTTAGATGCGGGGCGAGCCATGGACGGCGGCCACTACCGTGGAAGATCGCTTGTGGTCGGAATGTAGGGTCGGAAAAGGCCGACGTGGAACGATGGGCTGATGTACCAGTTGGCAGGCATTATGAGGTGAGCAATGACATGTGTTATCATGTGGCTGATCTTGAATAGGCCGCGGTAGTAAGGTCGAAGTTTTGGCCAAACAGGCGGTTCTGAGTGTTGAGCAGTACGAAGTCTCTTGACTGGTACGTGTCGGCGTTGCGTTTAGCGATAATAGTTGCCTTCTTATATTGCTTCTTCTGCACGGGTTCGTGCATCTTGCAATATCCCAGCGAACTGTTCGGCCTGATGGGCACTGTAAGGTTTTCCCCATAATTGAGGTAAAGTGGTGATTGTTTCGTCGTTCTTGAGGCGAAGCACCCCACAACAGAGAATCTCGTTGCCGAATTAGTTACTAGAATTTCCATCATCGTCGGCACCCGCGATCGCCTTTGAGGACTTCAAGCAGACACTTGTCAGCTGCCCTAGCGGGGTTGTGGCAGGACCATCGTGCACAACATTTGAAACCCTAGAAAATGTGGCCCTTACGAACCCGGATATCAACGAACAACTGCACTGGGTTACAAATCTGTTGATACATGGGGTGCTGTGTTAGAATCCTTAGCTAGGTGAGGAATGATCATTAGGTAAGGGAGAGGGAGTACAAGAGTGTCGAGAGAGTTGGGTTATACCCTCTAAGGTGTGACCCTACACAACCTAGAGTAAGAACAGAACAATATGTTTTGACACACCCCCATAGGTGAAGTAGGGGATAGCCAAACCTAACAGTGGTCACAAGACCAGTCAAGCAAGAGAACAAGCAAGGCAAAGCCCAGGGTGGATCTCAAGGACACCACACAATCTGAGCACAAGCAGGCGGCCACAAGGCCAGTTCACATGCAGATTTATAATAGCAAGGCAGTACACCGATCACAACCTAGCAAGAGTAAACATGCAGGTATAAAGATATATATAGCAGTGTACAACAAGAGCAAGTCAAGCAACCAGCAGGTGAGGCAGAGTGGGCACAAGCCCAAGAGCAGTGCAGAAACGCTGATGATCACCAGCCCCAAGGGCCTTGGTGAAGACATCAGCAGTGTTGGCCCGAGAGGCCACGTAAGCAAGGCGCAGCTGACCACGCTGCTGCAGCTCACGCGCAAGGAAGTAGCGCAAAGCAATGTGCTTCGTTCTGTGCTCCAGTCTCTGCTCGCGACACAAGGCAAGCATTGCCTTGTTGTCGACGTACACAACTGGAGGAGAACGAGGCCGCTCCCCCAAGTCGGTCAGCAGGTAGGTCAGCCAGCGGAGCTCCTGTGCAGCCATGGCCCCAGCGTAGATCTCGGCCTCACAACTGGAACCAAGCACAGAAGAAGAACGAGTGGACCTCCACGAGACAGAACCAGCGCCAAGACTGAAGGTGTAGCCCTGTGACGAACGCTGAGTCGCCTGGTCGTCGGCCCAAGAGGCGTCAGAGTGTCCTGTGAGGACCACCGAACCCCGTCCTCCAAGCACGAGCCCCATGCCCGATGTGCTGCACAAGTAACGCAGTACCCTAAAGTGCACCTTTCGGTGCCTGCCGGGTGCCACGTAGCGAGCCAGAAGGCTGAGAGGGTACGCGAGGTCAGGTCGTGTGCACGTCATCAGGTACATGAGGCAGCCCACAAGCTCTGGGTACGGACCACTCGGCTCTACGGACTCGTCCGAAGGTGGAGCTGAGAGCGAGTGGCCGGTAGCCAGAGGAGTGGGCTGTGGCGAGGAGTACGTGAAGCGGAAGCGCTGTAGGACCTGGTGCACCATGTGTGACTGAGTCAGGGTGATGGTGCGCCGTGGTCTCTCCCGGGTGATCTGCAAGCCAAGATAGCTCCGCAGCTCACCCAGGTCAGTGCAGGTGTGTCTCTCCTGCAGCTCCGCCTTCACTAGGGCCAGTGCCTCAGTGTCAGCAGTAGCAAAAACCAAGTCGTCGACGTACACGAGGATGTAGAACGGCGGCAGAGTAGTGTCGGTGCGTAGAAACAGCGACGGGTCAGCAGTCGAAGGAGCAAACCCAAGAGCCGCAAGTGTCGTCCTCAGTGTGTCGTGCCACTCGCGGGGCGCCTGACGCAAGCCGTACACTGGTCGCCGTAGGCTCCACTGGGTACCCTCAGGAAACGACCCAGTGAAGCCCTGTGGACGGCGCAACCAGATGGCCTCGTGAAGGCTACCCTGCAAGAAAGCTGTCGAGAACTCGAGGGACTGCAGCTCGTAGTCACGCTGAGCTGCAACGTGTAGCAACACCCGAAGAGTGGTCATCTTCGG